AATAGGAATAGTATACTATACGAGGTTAATAATCTATCTACGCTATAGAAGGAGGCCTCTTTTATAGGCTTAAGGCTTAGTAACTAGCCTATAGGTATAGGGCCGGTTACTAGCTAATACTACTTAATAGACTTTACGGAACAAGCAAGTCGCTTTAGTAACTCGATCGGGTCTAGTATTAATAGAAGCGCATTTGTCGAGATCTCGGAATTTACTAGGAGCGTAGAAGAGAGGGACTTTTATAAGAAGAATTCTAAATCGTAGTAGTACGTAAGGCTAAAGAAAGAGGGATACGACGATACGCCGTAAGTAGGCAAGATTGTAGATACTTAGGTCGAGGTACGTACGAGATATTTCTATATCCTAATAGAAGGCTTATGCCTAAAGCAAAGAATAAGGATAACGTTAACGAGCTATAGAATATATACGGCGACCTATAAAGCTAGTATATTAGTCTTTAGTACGTACGTTTAGTATTTATCGGTTTAAAGCGCTATAGGACTCTTAGCTACGACGAGTCGATCCTAGTATAGATAGCGAGACGTAGATACTAGTATATATAGCCCTTAAAGATCTCGGGCTTAGTAATAGCTTCTTCCTAGATTTGTACGCTAGACAAGACGTCTATATTAACGGAAAGGATAGGATTATAGTACTACTAATAGGTAGTAGATTAGCAATATTGTTCTAGATTAATATTTAAATACGCTAAGTATAATTCTACGACCGAAGATTGTACTAGCGTTACGAACTTCCTCGTAAATATTACTACGGATTGTCCCTATAGTAACGATAGTATATTGTATCTCGCCGCTTAACGCTAAGACCTACTACCTACGCCTCGAAGTTCTCTACTCCTAGTAGAGTACTCCTAGTAGAGTACTCCTAGTAGAGTACTCCTAAATATTAACTCCTAGTAGCTTAGTACTTCTAAGAAGTAACCGCCTTAGCTATTGTCTTCGAAATAGCCTATGCCCTCTGCTACTAACCCGAATAAGCGATAGACTCGTTAAGATATACGAGCTAAAGCTATATAAACCTAGGCTCTTATTAATTAGTTTAACTAGTAGGGTCGTAGTAGAAACTAAGGTAGGTAAGGTCGTAGAGGAAATTAAGATAGAGCGATAGCTCGTAGTAGAAAGAAGTAAGTAGAAGGTGTAGTAGCTAGCTAGCTATAATACCTTTATAGTATGACTAGATCGGTTCTTATTCCTTTTTTAGACTTCTTAGTCCGGGAGGTAGAAAAAACATTAGTCTAAGAGTAGACTTCTTAGTCTAAAAGGGAAGATATAGTAGAGTAACCTAGCTTAGTATAGGCGTATACCCTATTTTCTTTTTGTGCTATGCTGTATATGTGTTAGTATATATATACGACTACGATTACAATATAGCGGTAGATATATATAAGAATAACACCTTATCCCGCTATAATACAGCTCTCGCTACTATCCTTCCGTTCTTATAAATACTTATAATACCGACCCTCGAAGGTATATAATACTGCGTAAAACCCCCCGCAGTTACCTAAGATATACTAAATATAAGGCTTATTAGTTTTATTAGTTTTATTAATTTTAGTTAGTAATTTTAGTAATTTTAGTAATTTTAGTAATTTTAGTAATTTTAGTAATTTTAGTAATTTTAGTAATTTTAGTAATTGTAGTAATTTTAGTAATTTTAGTAATTCTTATTTTACTAATTCTATTAATCTTATTTACTTTACTAAATTTATCTTCTCTAGTATTCTACTTATTAATTAATATATTAGTTATACTATTGCTTTCTTTATAAACCTTACTATATAAATGTTTAGCGCTCTAAGACTTAAAGTACTCTCTATATATAATTAAAATATATAAAGTATATTATATATATCTATAATGTATTACTTTTAAGTTATTTTAATTATTTTAAATAAAAGAATAAGCTATAAAAGCTAGTATATAGACTAGCTATAATATACTACTATATAAAAGCTAGATACCTAAATCCTTATTATACTATTAGTAATTTTTTAAAACATACCTAACGTTTTAAACTAGCGCTTTTAACTATTAAAGAGCTAGGTATAAATAAATTTACTAACTAGATACTAAATACTAATAGTAGTAATAGTAGTGGAAGCTATCTTAGTAGAGAGGAGGCTTTGCGTGTTTATCTGCGAAATTACTAACTATACTATCTTAGACGTCCTCCGTCCTCCGCTATCGGATTGCGGATTTCTATAGTACCGGACGAGGACGAGATACTGGAACAGTCGCGCCTACTACCCACTGATCCAACTACCGACAGATTACTGCTGCGACTAGCGACCGATCCACGACTACCGATCCACGACTAGCGACAGGAGCACTACCAGCGACCGGAGTCACCACCGGCGCCCGGAGCCACCACCAGCGACCGGAGCCACCACCAGCGACCGGAGCCACCACCAGCGACCGGAGCCACCACCAGCAACCGGAGCCACCACTAACAACCGGAGTGACCAGGAACCAGAGCCACGACTAGCGACCGATGGACGACACCAGCAACCAGAGCCACGACCAGCAACCAGAGCCACGACTAGCGACCGATCCACGACTACCGATCCGCGACCAGCGACCGGAGCCAAGGCCTAGCTTACCTGGCTATTCGCGTGACGACCTTGCTCTAGCTCTTCGAGCTACGATAAGCGACCGAGCTACGACCTAGCTGACCTAGCTATTCGAGCGACAACCTAGCTATTCGAGCGACGACCTAGCTCGAGCTCTTCGGGCGACAACGTAGCTATTCGGGCGACAACGTAGCTGTTTAGGCGACGTGGCTATTCGAGCGACGTAGCCATTCGAGCGACGTAGCCATTCGAGCGACGTAGCCATTCGAGCGACGTAGCCATTCGAGCGACGTAGCCATTCGAGCGACGTAGCCATTCGAGCGACGTAGCCATTCGAGCGACGTAGCCATTCGAGCGACGTAGCCATTCGAGCGAAGACCTAGCTATTCGAGGAAAATTCCTCGCTCCGGGGAGAAGGTAGGCCCTCGTAACGCACAGTCCCGTAACGCACTTTCGAGCGATCTTAGATTTAGGATATCTTCTTAGATCCTTGATATATTTAGCTAAAAATTAGTATAAAGATTATTTATTAGTAGGGATTTGATTTATAATAGTAATATAGTTCTATAGGTTACTATAAAAGTTATAAAATGCTCGTATTTAAAATACTACTTTTATATTATATTACTAATAGATTGCTCGTAATAGTAGACGAATATAGTATTATTTATTAAAACCTACTAGGTAAGGATAGGCTTAGTACTAGAATTTAATAGCTATAGAATATAACTAGCTAAAGAATATTATATAGCCGTCTAGTACTTTAATACTCTTAGTTAATCCTGCTATATTTTAAAGATTTCTTTATAGATTATACTTATTACTTTATTTCTATTAGTTCTATATACTAAACTAAGTACCTAAACTCTAGTTTACTATATAAAATTAGCAATATTTATAATATTTACTTACTATTAGGTTAACTTTTAGAGAAAAAAAGTATTTATAGTTTTAGTTAACTTTACGCTCTTATAATAGCTATAAAATTAGGTAATAAAATATTTTAAAGTATAGAAAGTAAAGTTCTTAGACTTTTAATATCTATATATTAATTTTTACTAGTATCTTTATATTATTAAGCGTATTTAGGTACCTAAAGCTAATAGAGATAATCTTTATTAAATTTACTAGCAAATTGCTATTTATTATATAAGGCTACGTATTACGTAGGCCTAGGCCCTAACTTCTAGCCTATAGGTAATCTATATAGACTAGAACTTATAGCAATATAGCCCTCTTAGGTTATCCTATATATTAGGTAGACCTGCTATATATACCTAGTAGTTTTAGATTTCTAGATTTTTTATTTAGTAGAACTTAGGGACTAGACTTCTTAGAGTTTAAGTTAGATATATTAAAGTATATAGGATTCTTCCTAGGTGCTTAGTATTATTGTTTAGTGTATTCTAGTAACTACAGAAGACTTACTAGAGCCTAAGCTAGATATACTAAAGTATATAGGATTCTTCCTAGGCACTTTGCACTACTACCTATATCCTAGCAACTGCGGAATGCTATACCTAAAGAAGGCCTCTAAAGGACCAAAGAGGTCCTCTAAAGAGGTCCATTTTCCGTACTAGAGGCAGATAAGGAAGAAAGTGCCCTTCGACGGGGGCAGAGCCCCAGAAGTGCTTACGCAGGTCCTTCATTCACCTACCACTGCAACGGCGCCGGACCTACTCGCCCTCCTATCGGAGTGTGCAGAGCACGCACAAACCGGTGCCAGCGGGGCCCTGCATGTGTTACATACATGCAGCGGCCTTCGCTTGCCCATTTCTTGCCCATTTATTTACCTGCCGTTGAGACCGTGTCGCTTAGAAGGTGGTATACGGTATGTAGTAGAAGGTAGACGGCGTGTGCAAGCCTACAAAGCGGGGCGGCGCCTGGATGGATGTAGAGTACTCTATCGATGTTCCTCGACCATCTCCTACTCCCCAATCACTTGGAGCCATTTCATGCAAATCACTCGTTTGACAGTGCTCTGCTCAGACGATCGGGGACAGCTGCTTGTCCCCTGTCAAAATTCGTCCGCGTCCGCTCGGGGCGTTAGTCGGCGCAACTGGGATGTCGACTAGAGTGAGTGATCTGATTGCACGGAACCATCAGATTTAAGCCGTACGCAGCCTCTACTTCAGTTCGTCGGACGTAACCCAGGACTTTGTTAAGGGGATACATCTCTTCGGGTCAGCCTTGTTCAAGGCAGGCTAGAATGTCTCTCTTCGACAATTCTGGGACCTTGCGTGGGAATAGAGCCGTTCGTTGCTCGAAATCGTCCGCATCAATAGAATCTGGCGCCCATGATCAAGAATGGATATATTCAGCACCGACAACAAGATTTGATCATGTTACGTCGTGGTTAAGCATTTCGCCGTCCACGAGTGCTGGAAGCTCTCAGCTTGACGTATCCATGCCCCTGGGTGATGAGGTCTCCCCCAATCAAAGTGTAGCCAAGAACAGCCAATGGCTAGAAACCGAGTTTGATACGGACGACACAGCACAAGGCTCCGACCAGGCTCGACACCACACAGTGTTCCAGTCTGAGAGCTTCTTCGACATCCCACAGCGACCACTCTTGAAGCTCAACCCCTTCAAGGCCACTTTTAATCTGGTGCTGGCATTCGGACTAATTGGCGCATTGATTGCCGGCTACGCAATCGGTCTTCAGGTCTTCGATCTTGGGATCACTTCTATCGGCCTTTACGGAACGGTTCTTCTTTCCGAATACTTCGTTCAAGTCGTCTGCGCAGTCTCCAATCGCTTCGATGTCAACCGGATTGCTACTCGACTGAGGGAAAGGGATCGCAGGTCCGATGCCACTATCGAATGCGAGAAAGGAGCCATGGGTATCTCACCGTCCATCATGAATCCTGGCAGCGAGGTATCTATAGCTGTGGTCGGCTACCGCGAAGACGAGCGAGCCTGGCGGCACTGCCTGCGAAGTTTGCAGATGCAAACCCTTGCGCCCAAATGCATCATCGGAGTCGTAGACGGCAACGATGAGCCTGATCTGGCCATGGCGGAGGCCTTCGTCAGTGAGTTCCGATCGTACAATGCACCACTCATCGACCTTCCCGTCTTGCTATCAGACTTGCATCGCGATGTCTATTTCGACAACGTACCTCATGACACTCGATCGCGGGTGGTCAAGTTCTGGCATTATCTCGCCGGCAAAGGTCGACCGGGCCATGCGCGAGCACTCTCTCTTGCCAGACAGGCCGTGGTCGATCAAGTGGTCGAATGGAATTGCAGATGGGGCATTGAAAAGCTCGATGCTGTTTGTTTCAGCCAACCACATGGACACAAACGCACGGCGATGTTCACGGCTTTTGCGATGAGCATGTACGCTGTACGTACACGAGACGCCGTTTTCACGACCGACTCGGATACTTTGGTGCAGGACAACGCTCTCGATGAAATGCTAGCACTCTTGCGCTCTGCTCCAGACATCGGCGGCGTGACGGCAGATGTCAAGATCTGGAATCGCGCCGAAGGCCTTCTCACAAGACTTTGCGCTGCGCGATATTGGTTTGCTTTCAACATTGAGCGAGCTTGTCAATCAACATGGCGATGCGTCGGTTGCCTGTCTGGCCCAATGAGCATGTACCGCACCTTCGATCTCGAGACCATTCTGGGACCTTGGAATCTTCAGACGTTTGGTAACAAGCGAACAACGTTTGGAGATGATCGTCACTTGACAAATCAGCTACTGGCTCACGGCCTCAAGACGCGCTACACTCACCGCACGTGGTGCGACACCGAATCCCCTACAACCTTCGTGCGCTGGGTTGCCCAGCAGACGAGGTGGAGCAAGTCATTCTTCCGAGAAGCCTTCTGGTTCCCAGCGAGTTTCGCATATCAAAGTGCATGGATGCTTGTCGAGATGACCATACAAGCACTCTATCCTTTCATCCTAGTCGCGACAGCTTTCCACCTCATCTTCGATGCATCGGATGAAAATAAGTGGCGAGCCTTGATATGGCTTGCTACCATGTTCGGCATTGCTCTCCTCAAATCTCTCGTGGCATTATTCATCTGCTGGGATCCCTGGCTGCTACTGTTCGCGTGCTACGGCTTCATCTACTTCTTTGGCCTCCTGCCCTCGAAGCTCTGGGCATTATTAACCATGAACAAGACCGGATGGGGCACTTCCGCGCGGTCTTCCGCTGAAAGGAAGCGAGGACAATCCTTCCTCCAGCGCTCATTCCACGTTGGCCATCTCGTCGTCTGGTATTTGGCTATCTTTGTCGGAATAGGTTTCTTCATGTACAAGATCTTGGGCAACGCACTCTTCTTCTTGATCGGCGTCACAGCGGTCCTGGCAAGCATCTCCCTGTACTGGAATCCCAATTGGATAGCGACACTCAAGATAATTCGGTGGAGCAGGACAAGAAAAGTAAAAAGTGCTGACGTCGAAACCATGGACGAGCGAAAACTTCCAGAGAAGCCATTGCCTGCGCATACGTCCACCAAAGTGAGTTCTGAGAGTGTCGATTCCGAGATGACGCCGGCAGTATCGATGATGGATTCTAGAGAGAGCATTGAAGTGCTGCCAAGAGTCTTCATATTACCTTGACGAGCAATCAGATGTAGAGTGGTAGAAGAACTTGGCTTGTGCGATGAACGTTCATTAAATCTTTAGCCTTTCCTTAGCCCTGTTTACGTGCAACCGACCCGAAATACAGTAGCAATCGTGGCAGACGCTGTGTAACCCGATCATTCCGAATGCACAACACAAGGTATCTCAGGCGAATGTTGAGCGCCACCACCCCAGCCACGGGACAAAAATGTAGCACATCAGGAGCCATCCGAGAGCCCCATTGCTTGTTCGAGACCCAGCATTCATGTGAGTTACTACAGGTGGTGGACTGGACGCAGAACCTCCTTGAGACGTTACGCTGGGGCCTCCTTGAGACGTTATGTTGGGGGCAAGGCTGCTCATAATTGCGCCATCGGCAATGAGACATGCAGATGAGCTGCGCTCACAAGGAAGGATAGGCATACTCGTGTCGTTGTAAATCGCCTGAAGGAAGGACACCGTGATCGTGGTGTTCTGTTTCGGGGGTCCAAGTGAGTAGTGTGGATCACCATTGGACCAATGACTGAGGGCGATGCGGCCAGGTGCTTGGGGCACATTGGCTGTAATATTTTTCAGGTAATTCGCATCGATGCCGAAATAGACGATGTCAGGAAGCCATGTCCAGGACCACTCATGGGGTTCTTCACGGAATTCGTCGTCTAGTCCTGACCATCGTTCCCGCTGGTACGTGCTATCGTCGGGGTTGCCGCTTGGTAAATAGACCTGCGGCTTGACGGTGTACAGTAATGTCGGCTCTGTCCAGGCGCTGAGATATTCGATGTCAATTTCTGAGCTGTCATTTTTGTAGATGTAGAAAGCTGCGACTGTCCCAGGCTCGGTCGCAACGCGTATTCGCGCACGATACGAGCCATAGAAGAACGCTTTCTCTTTGGTAATGATCTGTGCACAAGGTATGTTTTTGCCATCGGTGGAAGGCGAGACGGTGAGATCAAGTCCAGTACTGGAATACTGCAATTGGTCGACTGAGTAGTCCCGAGTGTAAGGCGCGACGACTTGGATCACATCGTAGTTCGCAGGCATGAAAAGATCTTCCAGTTGCTGAACTTTGGCGGACGTGAAGTTCACCGCGAACAGATTTGCAAAGATGCTTCGTGTAGGGTCTTTCGAATCAACGAAGCCACAGTCACAATCATCTGCATTCAATGTAGCCATTGGAGAGTGCATTAGCACGGAAGATCAGCCCAGAATGCACTCCGGGACACTTGGAGCCTCCGCCACTGCCGAGCTTTCATCCCTTTAACCGCCTCCGTGGTCAATAACAAGTCTGTATCCGGGGTTTCGTCAGTGTCACTTCACCCTTCGCCCAAGCTCGGTGTGAAGTGAGAACAACTCCTACCCTGGCAGTGCCCTTGTCCGGTTCGACAGAACATACCAAATGTAGTGTAGCGCTTATACAGAGCGTGCTTAGTGAGATAAGCGCAGCGATCGAGTCCGATTGGGCGAAGGGTTCGGCCGGAGTAGAGCTTAGGTTAAGAAGCCGACACTTTCACGAGTCGTGCTTCTATGGCGGCTCAAACTCGACCAAGTAAAGGTACAAGATACCCTGAGGACCATTCCGGTCTATATGGGTTGCCCGAGGGCCACCCGGAAACTACCAAAAGGTCGCTCGAATAGGTTGCTCGAATAGCAGTAGCTAGGGGGTGTCGCTAGTCGCTCGAACAGCTCGCTAGGTCGTGTCGCTGGTCGCTCGAGTAGCCAGCTGGCCGTATTATTAGCTGGTCGCTCGAACAGCCAGGTCGTATCAGCTAGTCGCTCGAACAGTCGTATCGCCAGGTCGTATTGCTAGTCGCTCGAACAGCTGGCTACAGTGGGCAATGTCGCTGGTCGCTCGAACAGCTACCTTGGTCGTGTCGCCGGTCGCTTAAACAGCCAGCTAGGTTATGTCGCCGGTCGCTCGAACAGCCAGCTTGGTCATGTCGCTAGCCGTGGCTCGCTCGCTGGTCGTAGGCCGGTCGGTCGGTCGTGGATCGGATGCTCGTAGATCGGTCGGTCGTGGATAGGATGCTCGTAGAGCGGTCGGTCGTGGATCTGTTAGTCGTGGATCGCTCGCTGCTAGTCGCAGCTCGCTAGCCAGTTGTGTCCGTAGCTTCCGTCCCTATCGCTACTCCTATAAGGTATTTATAAGCTATTTTAAAGTTCCTTCCGATATCTTACATTACAATAGCGAGATATACTATATAGAAGATATTTTAGTAACTCTACTATATATAAAAAACTATTTTTAAGTTCTTTTTCTATAGGACTAAAAATTTTTAAAAAAATATAATAAGAAAGCACCTATATAAAGAAAGCCTCTTTTTAGGGTTCTTTTACTTTTCAAATACTACTCTTATAAAATATTATAAAAGTATACTATATTCCCTATTTATAAGTAATATAACGTACTCCTATTTTATAAATATAATTTCTAGCTTATTATACTTATATAAGAATAGCGAAGAAATATTACTATAGCATATTGTCTTTAAAATAACTCTATAGATTTAGGCCTATATAATAGCTATACTAAGTTTACTATCTAGCTATAAATAGTAAATCCGATTTTTAGAAATCTACTATAGCGTCGTTCTAGCTATAATTTATTATAAAGAGCTTTAGACTATTTAAAGAGTTAGGAGCAACGCACAATCCGAGAAACTAGGGAGAAAGATAAGCGGACCGATATATCCGACTTCTTAACCCCCGGCCGTAATCCTAGTCCAGGGAGGCTGGGAGACCGCCCGCTATATTCTAGAATCTCGGCATCTTTCTTCACTTCGTAGTGGCTCGTACATGTAGTCGATGCAATGCTTGTCTAACGCACATCTTTTCCACAAATGTCGCAATATTCCCACCTCATCACTCCGGACTTACAGTACAAGAGCAAGTGGAAGCGTGCGTGCCAGTCAGCCTGCCTCCGGGGGCCGATCTCACTGATTCCTATGTGACGAGTCCATTGATCCACAATACCACTTCGCTTCAGTTCTCATCGAGCTGGGCGTCAAGATTCAAAAGCGTCTACGCAGGCGAGTGCTGTCTGCGCGGTGTTATCTTGGTTCATCTTGAAGTGCTTTCTGATCCCTCTTCTGAAGCCGAACGACAGCTACCCTTGCCCGTGGCGATGGCCGTCTATGCCGGAAGGTTCACTGGACCAGACCGAGCCTCGAGAAATTGACGAAGGATGGTGTCAGGAAGAGGTGGTATGAACCATGATTATGTTATGTGATCTGCACCCACCGGCCGTCTTGTGCCGATGGCATTGCGGTTCTGGTCACCTGTGTGTGGGTTGGTCTGCTTAGTGTGCAATCTTTCAAGAGCAATCTGTTTGGTACTGTCATCGCATGTGCGGCCTTCACGACGACAGCATGCTATCAGATCTGGATTGGCAAGACTTGATGTAACTGATGTATTCAGAAGAAGGACTATCTACGGAAAGTCCAAAGATGAAGTGCGTCAGTTGCAGCCTCAGGCATCAGGCACGTAATGGACCCTGACACCTGGACATACACTCCAAGTTACCCCCTCAGCACGTGCATATCGCCATAGAATAAAGCAAACCAAACACAATAGCCATTCAGTTAGCAAAGCAAACAGGGGTATTAGGTAAGCAGAAACAGGTAAACAAACTAGACTACTCTTAGGTTAAACAGACAAAGCAAACAAAGGCCCTTTTTTCTTAGTATTTAGTAGCTAGTTTTATAGCGCTCTTAATAGCGGCCTTATAATCTACTAGGTTTAGTTGTTTAACAAAGCGGCCGTACTTAATCCTATTAAGCGGCTTAGTAAAGCTATCGGCTATCTAATCGTATATACTAACCTATTAGACGATAATAGTACTATTAGCAATCTTCTCTCGAATATAGTAGATACGAGCATCTATATACTTTGTACGGCTATTAATAGTAGACTTAGTAATAGCGATAGCGGACTAATTGTCCTCGTAGAGCGTAACAGGCTTAATAGTGCCCTTATAACTAATCTCTTATAGTAACCGAGCTAAAGCAACGGCTTCCTTAGCGCTAGTTATTAACTAAATATACTTAGCTTCTATAGACGATAAAGTAACTAAGGTCTAGCGTCCTAACTTGTATAGTAGCGGTCTACTAGCGAGTATAAAGTAGAAGCCGCCTATAGAGCGGCGAGTAACTAGATCGTTAGCCTATAAGGCATTATAGTAATCCGCTAGATTAAGCTTATCCTTACTCTATATACCTTAGAAACATAGACTACGGCTTAGAGTGCTAACTAGGTACTTAATAAGCTAAAGAAGTGCGGCATAGTGTTCCTTAGTCGGGTTAGAAATATATCGTAACAATAGGCCTATAGTATAGCAAGCATTAGGCCGAGTAATTATCGCTAGCTATAGTGCTTTACTAACTCCTTCTTAATACTAAGTCTTAAAGGCAGCGCTAGCAGTATAGCCCTTAGGTGCACGCTAAATCGATATCTTAACGTATCGAGGTACTATTAGTATAGTAGGAGCTACCCGGCCCTATATACTATACTTCTTACTAAGCCTATTTAAATAGGCATCTTAAACGACGTAAATAGTACGCTAATCGCGGTTACGAATAATCCGCATACTAAGATAGTAGTGCAGGTCGCCTAGCTCTCGTATATTAAAACGGTCCTTTAGTAACTAAGCTACTGCCTCTAGTGCTAATAGAGTATAGGCGATAATAATTATATTATCTACGTAAATAACAATAATAGAGCCGCTAACAATGTGTTTAAACACATATACATTAGCTACTATCGGCACGAAGTCTAGGCTCTTTAGGTACTTTCGAAGCTCTTCGTACTATAGCATTAGTAACTGCTTTAGACTATATAGTACCTTTAGCAATAGGCAAACTATGCCCTTTCTACTACGGTCCTTAAAGCCGTATAGTTGTTCGACGTAGATCTTATACTTATTACCGATAAGTGCATTAAGGAAGGCCGTTAGAATGTCGTATTGCTTAGCCTCTAGGTCGTAATAAGCAATTAGGCCAAACAGTGCTCGCAGCGTAGACAGCTTAGCTATAGCCGTATAGGTCTTATTATAGTCTTGTCCTTTAACCTATATAAACCTACGGACGACCTATCGAGCCTTAAACCGGCTTACCTTACTATTAGCGTTACGCTTAATAGTAAACACCTATCGGCTACGGACAACCTTACGACCTCTAGGTACTTCTAGTCGAGAAACATATACCTATATATAGTTATCTATTAATAACTTGTATTTAGCCTTATAGGCCTCCTTCTATTATAGCTAGTACTACGACTCCTTAGCGGCCTTAAAGCTCTTCGGAATTAGAATAGTATCGTTAGGCTTCTGTTTAGCAATATAGCAGGCGGCTATAAAGCCCTTAATATAGGCTATCGGCATATTAGCAAGGGTGCGGCGCTCTTTGCGATAGAGAGCGCCTATATCGGCTAGATAACTACGTAGCAGTTTACGAGCGCTCTTGTTGCTTCGTATCTCACGTATAGAACGACTACTAACAGCCTTAGCAGGTCGCTTAAACTTAGGCAACTAGCCTAGCTCGCCCTTCTTAGCGTAAGGATCGTACGCTAGTTCTTCCTCGGCTAACTAGAAGCTATCTTTATTACTTAGAGGTTGAATAGTCGGTAGGTTATCCTCGAGCGGCAATAGATTAGCGACTTTATTAGCAACCTCCTAAGCTAGTTCTTCTAGAGCATCTTCCTATTAGACTAGAAGCTGCTAGACTATACTAGCGGCTTCCTATAGCGACGGTGCCTTATTGCTTGTAGAATTAAACAGAGCCGGTATAACGGACTCGAGTATAACAAACTCGTTCTTAGCTAGGTTATTAGGATTGGCGTATAGGTTTATACTCTCTAGAAGCGATAACTTGTTGTCCCCTAACTTAATAAACTAGACATCCTTCGAGGCAACAACCTTGTATTCGTTAGACAAGTAGATTATATATTTGCTAGAGTCTACTAAGTCCTTCGCATAACCAACTAGTTTGCTAAGCCTTCTACGAGCGTTAAACTTCTTACTACGAGCTATACTATAGTCGTAGACAATAGTAGTATAGCTATAGGCTCGAAGGTATTAAAGGCGTAGCTGCTTCCGAGACTAATTAAGCTCCCTAGCTATAATAGTATAGGGACTAAGGCCTTCTAAGGTTCTAGGAGTAATATTAAGAACCTGTGTTATAGTAGCGACTATATACGGCTATAGAGCCTTTAGCAAATTCGCATAGAGCATTATCTTCCGAGCGGTCGTATATACGATGTAGTTACTAACCTTAGCTAGGCTATTCTAAGTAGAAGAATAAGGTGCTATAACCTATAGTATAATGCCCTAATTACGAGCCTAGCTTAATAGCTAATTTCCGCTATATTTACCCCCTCTATCGAGGCGGTAGATTAGGATCGAATAGCTAGTTTATATACGGACGTATATACGATAATCTTTAATTACTACTATAGCCCCTAACTTTAGTAAGCTAGTATATTCGTGTCGATAGCCTAATTTGGCGTATATAAACAACGTGAAGTAGCGTTCTTATAGTAGACTAGGGTTAGTAATAGTAACTACATCTACATAGACAATATAGTAAATAGTAGATAGTCGTAGTCGTAGCAGTCGGTTATATTCCTTATATAACGTTGCTATACGACAAGCGATACAGTTTCGGAAGCCACTCTTATTCTTGTTACTAGTAATAATAATCTAACCCTTAGCTTCTATTCGTAACAGCTTACGGTAATAAATATAGCTATATCGTAGATGCTATTCTTCTATCGTACCTATTAGTACCCCCTTCTTCGATAGAAGCGTAACAACCTAGCTATCCGGACTAGAGGTTGATATATATAGATAGGGGAGACTATTCTTGCGGTATATCTAAGTAATAGTAACCTTAGAGCCGTTAATAACAGTAAATAGCACTCGCTTATCATTCCGATAGAAACAGCCCTTATCGGCAAGCTTCTTAGTAGACAGAAGGTTAGCTACTAGACCTAGCACATATAGTATATTAGACAACTTTATACTGCTTACACTACGCTTATTAACTACCTTAGTCTAAGCCATTCCGACTATCGTAGCGTGCTTCGTATTGCTACTAAACCGGACAGGAATATAATAGCCTTTATATTTAATAAGCAATAAAGGGTCGTTAACTATATATATACTAGTACCTAAGTCGACAACCTAATTAGTAGTACAAGTGCTAGCAGTAAGAGCCGTAGAAACTAGGTCGCTTATAGTAACCGTAGCTATAAAGGCGTAATTGTAGCTTAGGTCTAATAACACCCCTAGAGTAGCATTAGCCGTATATAGTCCCTAAGTACTATTCTAACTAGATAGTAGTTGCTATTGCTACTAAGCAGTTAACGCCTGTTATTGCTTCTTCTTAGCCTTCTGCTTCTCGCGACGAAGTCGGTCTTCCTCCTTTAGGTAAGGGTACTTAGTATAGTAGCAGTTAGAAGGGTATAATCCCTAATAATAGACGCACTTCTTATAGTTAGACTAATAACTATTCTAGTTGCTTCTACCGCGGCCTCGACCGTTGTTATTGTTTCCGCGGCTACTACGACCGCTACGGTTCGAGTTACCTCGACTATTGCTATTGCTATTACCTTATAGTTGCTAGCGCTAGAGACCGAAGAAACTATTATATTAGGCCTAGTTTAATTAAGCTACATTCTTATTAAGCAACGCGCTAATAATATTGTTAAGGGTACTGTCGTTAATAGTGTATTCTAAGGCGCGTATCTGCTTACGTCGCATCTATACGAAAGCCTCGTAGAATAGTGCGATTTATATAATAAACATATAGATAGCCTAGTATTAACTAATAGCTAATTTAGTATCCTTTAAGGCACCGAGCTTCTTCTTATATTCGTTATAGAACTTCTTAACGTCCTTGCTATTATAGCGAAGGGTAATATAGTCCTAGAAGAGTATAAATTTAGTAGACCTACCTTTACTAGTGTATTTCTTCTTAAGGAAGTCTTATACTTCCTAGGATATAGACAGACTAAGCAGTAATTATTAAATGTTACTAATATAATTAGCAAAGATCTAGGTACGTGCTGTTTAATCTTTAGAGTCCTATTTATCTTAGTAGTCTTTAAACTCCTTAGAAGACTTACTAGAGGCCTTAGAAAGGGGTCGCTAGTAGGTACCTTATATATAGCGCTAGACTAATATACCTTTAAGGGCGCCTTTAGCGGCGTACGACTATAATAGGTAATTCTCCTTATTCTTTAGCTTAGGAACGTTGCTTATATAAGCGCTAGAGGTTATAGAAGGAGCTATTATAGATAGCGACGGCGATAATATAGATAGAGACTATAGACTTGTTTTAAGGGGCAGCCGATAGGCGCGCCTATATTCTAGTATAGCGGACAGCTAACACTAATAACTCGAGTCGGACTAGCACCTACTAGAACCCTCGAGGACGGCGGCGACGATAATAGTATTAGCGCAATTTTTTAGTAACGAGCGCTATCTATATAGTAGTCGGATTAACTATTAGAAAAACGTATAGAATGCGTTAGAAACGCAGGGGGCTTATAACCACTTGATGTAACTAATGTATTCAGAAGAAGGACTATCTACGGAAAGTCCAAAGATAAAGTGCGTCAGTTGCAGCCTCAGGCATTAGGCACGTGATGGACCCTGACACCTGGACACACACTCCAAGTGCAAGAAGATGGAAGATTTGGAGGTTGATGCGCCTCAGCTGCTACTGAATCAGTGTGCGACTGTTGATTCCAGTCTCGTATGCATTCGACGTCTTCCCGGACTTTTGCAAGTCTGTGACGATCTCCTCGCATAAGAAAACCAGGCTGATGCTTTCCAGCCACCATCCCAGCCCAGACCCTTATGTTCCTCTTCGGAGGAGGCATTGTGGCCAGCTTCCTCAACCTGTCCCGATTCATGATCATCGGGCGAACATCTGCACTTACTGTGAGTTCATATCCAACTGAAACCATATCTTTGAGTGTACGTATTGACAAGTCGCAGTTCAACATCGTATCCAACGTCAAGATGCTTGCGATCCTCGCGTTGGGCTGGTATAGCGAGGGCAGGCCAGGTATGCTATTGCATTGCGTGCGTCCTAGAGGCCAACCGACATGACTTGATCACTTCCCGGCTCTGGGTGTTTCAAACCTGTTCCACTCAGCACCGTTGCCTCTTCGCAAGCAAGCATCGCTGCCCCTTCGGAGCCGTGACAAAGAAAGACACAGGCTTCATGTCATCCGCCGTGAACCCGTCCACCCACGCGGGCCTCATACCCTGGCTGAAAGTCCTGTAGAAGCTCGCCAAAGCGTGTCTCATCTCGAGCATCGCAAAGTGCTGCCCGATGCACACACGACTACCTCCTCCGAATGGCAAAAACGCGCTCTGCATATCCTTCGTCGCATCATTCCATCGCGAAGGATCAAACTTGTCCGCGTCTCGCCAGATCTGTGGAAGATGATGCATTGCGTACGCCGGAATGGCGACCGTAGTGCCTCCTGGAACGAAGTGACCTTCGAAATCGGCGCCCCCGTCTGGCACTATGCGTGGGAGTCCTTGGCCAACTGGTGGACGGATACGAAGCGTTTCCGTTATTACGCCGTTGAGCAGCGGAAGCTTGATGAGATTCTCTTCGGTGAAGTGTTGCGGGAGCATTGCAACTTCCTCCGTCAAGGCGTTTTCCAGATCGGGATCTTGGGACAAATACCACGCAGCGTACGTTGCTGTAATAGCGGACGTATCGGTGCCTGCAACGATGCTGGTCATATCCATCAGTAAGAAGCATTCAATGTGTTCCCAGACATTCCTTACTTGGTCATTGCATCTGATGTAATGGCCACTTTCGGAAGTGTTCCGTCTTCGACAGCAGAGAAGGCTTTGCTCATGAGAGTTGGCTTGACGTGATCAGGGTCAGCTCGATACGCTTCGAAGTATCGAGAGATACGATCTTCAGCATAGTTTTTCATCCTCTCCAAGCCGGCCGATACCTCGTTCGCAGAGCCAAACATCAGATAGGCGACCAGTTTGTTGAGCAGCGGCAACTCAGCTCGAATGAAGCCACGCAGGCCATCATTCTCCAGGTCAATGATGTACTGTGTTTTCTGGCGAACATTATGATTAGCAAGATACTTACAATCGAAGACTTAAATGCGCTGACTTCTCCACTCTGCAGAGTATCAAAGCTCTCTCCAAACGCCGCCTCAGAGACAATATCGGTGGCCTGGAGACTTGATCAGCGTCCTTCCGAGATCGTCGGATTTCCTTGCCTACCATGAAAGTAAACCACTTCTTGACATCTGTATATCCTCTCGCATCCAAGTCAGCGACCATCTTCTTCGCTGCGACTCGCGTCTTCTCAGAAATATACGGTTCCATCTGCTTAATCCAATTCTCCGAATAATTGTGTGCAAGGAGTCTTCGTCGAACTCCATGAGCTTTAGGATCTCGAATAGTGAAGAGAGCCATGTCGCCAAATCCTGTCGCAGTCCCGTACCAAGTAGGTTTGTGGTATGGACTGCCAATCTGGTACACGATCTTGGCTGCAGAGATAGATGCCAACGACACTTCTCCAAGTCCGATCCGCACCACAGGACCTGTTTAGATTTAGACTTTGATTCATTAGTCCTTTGTATTCGCTATACCATAGCGCTGATGGAGCGCGTGCTCGTAGCTTGCTCGCTCGCCAGTCATTACGGCCCATTGGAACCGCAAGTTGGTCCACTTCGAGATCCATGGTCCCGGCAAATGTCGCAATGGGTTGGTTAAGGCAGTATATGTCTTCCACTGTTTCCAAAGTCAGCGGTACTTTATCAATGATTCCGCAGTGGGTTGAAGCAACGTAGACCTACCGAGACGAAGGCAACTATTATGGTGATCAGTAGCGTCAAGGCCATGGTCGTTCCAGGATGTGTGAGGTCGTCCTGGAGTGCGGAATCGTGGCGACTCTCTTACAACCTCTGCAATGCAAATGCTTGACTGATGTGCCTCCGTCAGCAGGTCGTGGTCGTTTTCAGCCGCATAGGTGTGCCCCAAGACACAGGAAGTGGTATGACATGCATAAGTTTGATTGGCATAGCGTGAAAGGATCAAAGCCAAGTCGGTCCCTCGTTTGCATTCAGCTGGAGGGCTGATCCTTTGCCCGCGTTCGCTAGGCCGCATCGTTGAAATGCATGCATATTCGCTTCTTTACTGACATAGAGTAGACCCGAAGCCTCATCGACATGTGATGCAGCCTAACTTCTTCACGCGGCTTCTGCTTCTGATCAACCCAGTTTTCGGCCTTCCAGCAGTCATGTCCGTGTAGACGTTCGTTGGGTGCTTCTCTCAAACTTTCAGGTCTCCGCTCCTCACCTTCGCTCATACTCCCATTGGCATTCATAATTGTGGCCGAGCACCTGCAGTATTCCTGTCTATCATCCCATATTCCTCTTGCCAGTACCTGTGACACCGATCCAGGGACGCCACCGAAATTCTTCAGCTCCTGTCACAACGACATCCTGCCCTGTCCTGTGCCTCCTTTGTCTTCTCTTCAATCGCCTTCATGGTCTTCTGCGCTCGTGACATTCGAGCACGGGTCGAAGCCCTTGCGTAGACATCTTTGTTGGACTTCGATCTAGAGTAAGGATTCGGTGATCATCAGATCGTGGTAGCTCTGAAGAAACAAGTTCGCATGTGAAAGTCCTTGTAATGGGATTCGGAAAGAATGGATGTGGACGCGACCAGGTTCGCGACGCAGCTGAGTCAGCAGTGAACAGTGAAGATATCAATTCTTTTGACATTTTTCCGGGACTGTGATCTCTGCCCATGCTTCTATCGCTGCTTATCTACACATATCATTCATCGCTCATACGTATGCTTTATCGCTTTTTGATTCACTGAAAATCACTCGGAAACAATTCCACGCGCCGCCTATGTCTTGACATCTGGCTCAGTACGGCCGATGTACTCCTGCAGTTTGAGCAGACCAGTCGCGAGCTTGACATTGTCCTTGAGATAGTCCTGGGCGTCAAGACCGTAGGTCTTCTCGTCCGTTTCGTGCTTTTCGATGTATAGACGGATGGTGGCGCCAGACGAGCCGGTACCGGAAAGACGGACAACGATTCTGCTGCCATCGTCAAACTTGACGTAGATACCCTGATTCTTGCTGACTGAGCCGTCGAGATCAGTGTACGAAAAGTCGTCTGCCTCGAGCACCTTGCGGCCAGCGACTGAGGAGCCAACGAACTCGCTCTTCTTTGGTCCGATCAGCTCCTTCATGTGTGCCACAACCTTATTCGCACCCTCAGTCTCGCAGCCTTCGTAATCGTATCGAGTGAAGAAGGTGCGGCCGTATGTCTTCCAGAAATCGTGCTGAATGCTCTTGATGCTGGGCGTGCTGCCGGTCTGCTGGCCGACACCGGCAATGATGTTGAGCCAAGCGACGATGGCCCAAAGACCGTCTTTCTCACGGATGTGGTTGCTGCCAGTACCGAAAGATTCCTCACCGCAGATGTTCATCTTGTTCGAGTCGAACAGACCGCAGAAGAACTTCCAGCCAGTTGGCACCTCGTAGCTTTGAAGACCCTTCTTCTTTGCTACAAGATCGACAGCACCAGAAGTGGGCATGGAGCGTGCGAGACCGTACACGCCCTGCTTCTTGAAGTATGGAATGAGCTCGGCGTGGTGTGCGATGATTGCAAGCGAGTCACCAGGCGAGACGAAGGAGTTCGCGCCGTAGATCATGTTGCGGTCACCATCACCATCGGAGGCCGCACCGAAATGAATGCCCTCCTTATCTACACGCTCGACCAGCGAGTGTGCGTAGACCAGGTTGGGATCTGGGTGGTGGCCACCAAAGTCTGGCTTTGGTACGCAGTTCTGTGTGCTCCCCTTCTGTCCAAGCTCTTTCTCGAAGATGTCGACACCGTAGTTGCCAGTGACACCGCTGAGACCATCGAAGAGGATCTTGAAGTCCCTGTGCTCGCTGAGGAAGCTCTTGATCAGGTCAAAGTCGAAGATGTCCTTGAGCATTTGAACGTAGTCTTGAGTGCTGTGCACGATTTCGACCTCGAGTGGGCCGTAAGTCTTGGTACCGATGGTGGAGAGGTCAATGTCTGGAATATCGGCGATCTTGTACTCTGTCAAGCTCTTGGAGAATTCGTAGATCTTGTTCGTCACGCTCTCGGGAGCGGGGGCACCGTTTGCGAGGTTGTACTTGATACCAAAGTCCTCATCGGGACCGCCTGGGTTGTGCGAGGCTGTGAGAAGAATGCCACCAGTGGCCTTCTTGATGCGGATGATGTGTGATGCGGCAGGTGTGGAGAGGATGCCGTTCTGGCCGATCAAGAGCTTCTTGACGCCATATGCAGCTCCTATCTTTGCAATGATCTGAGTCACTTCGGGGTTCCAGTAACGACCATCGCCACCGACGACCAAGAAAGCACCTTGGGCGCCTTCCGGGATAGATTGGATGATCGAAGCCACGAAGTTCTCAGAGTAGTTCTTCTGCTGGAAGACCTTGACCTTCTTGCGGAGACCAGACTGTGAAGCACATTGCGTTAGCCTCGGAGCTTTGAAATTGGAGGGTGGAACTCAGATATGGCGGAAGTGGCTGTGATTGTTGTGCTGAAAGGACTGGATTTTGTCCAGCACCAAAAGCCCCAACTCTGCCGTAGCAATCTGAAGCTCACGGGGACATTGATGGCGACGGCAAGATACTCACAGTGCCAGGTTTCTGGTCAGAAAAGGCATGCGTCTGAACAGTAGAAACGCTCATGGTTGCGGTATGCTCAAGGAAAAGGCGGAATCGTTCAATCGTGAAGTTGGATGAAGGAATCAAAGTCCAATGGCAGCCGCTGAGGTTTTGTTTCCGTCACAACCAGATGAACAGAGGGCCCCGCACTAGTACGAAACAGGCAATGCAGACAGGGGTCAGCCAGAGATTGAGAGCTCGACGACTTTTTTGGTGGGCCGTCTGCATGGCATGATGATGATGTTGAGCTACATGGAAAAGGTACATTGGCTCGGCGTTTGACGGCCAATCGAGACTCTTGCTTGACTGCAAATTTGCTTGGAATGCTGCGAAGATGCAGAAGTACGGTGTGCAAGTGAGTGCTTCCGCAGTGGGGGGGGGGGTTTTCTACAGCGTTCTATTCGCTGGCTCAATGTGCCATTGCATTCGATATCAAGTGAGAATGCGCTCAACAATATTGCCGTCGCTTTTGCCACATGAGCGAGGTCAAATGAGACTTGCTGAGGTCCAGGGCCATGGCCGCAGCCCAACATGGAGCGCATGCTTGAAAGCTGTACACAAGAACAAACAATGTGAATGGCAATGCAATCCACCCCAGACCACACTAACGGGTACTTCAAGGTGCATGGTGTTGTTCCCAGCGAGCGAGGCCACCCTTTCGCTGGCCCTGCCACTCCACTCCCCTCTTGCATCCGAAGAGTACGGGTCATACTTCTCGCAACAATCCCAAACATGTTATCGAGGGTATGTGATGGAGGCTGATTCAGGTGGATGTGGATGCTTTGCGATATAGCGTTTGACCATCGATCCGTCGGGGCCACAATGTGTGCATCCGCGTACATAGGTTCGACTGCTTGTACTGGAGCAGACATGTATTCCTGAAGGAGTTCGGTTGGGGTGTAGGAGATTGAGTAAGTCTCGTTCTCACAGGTGAAACCAACGTCCCTTCCAGATCAATGGCTTCGCCAGTCATCGACTGGTATAGTGTGGCTTCTTCCATAGAAGCTGTGTATCCTGCGAGGCACCAGCGCAACACATTCAGTGCCAGCGTGCTGAGAAACCAGTTGGTCCTCTCGCAGGGCATTGGAAGCACCAAATACGAGGCTCTGGGCCGGCAGACCGACAGTCCGCATCACTGCCTTGAAGGAACGTGACCATGCTCAGTATTAGGTGCTTGTCCACAATTGACGTTGACGCATTGTCCGCGTTCCTACGTCGCAATATCAAAACTCGTCCCACAGCCACAACTGCTCTTCGCTCCAGGTATGCCAGTGACCTTGAACTGACTTCCAATCAGCTCCATCGTATAGTCCACCGAGCTTCCCTTCAGAAGTTCCAAGCTCGGTTCATCCATGATGACTTTTGCCTTGTACCCATCTCCACCTTCCGCACTGCCCTTCTGATTCACTCTTTCCTCATTCTCGAATATCGTATCCTCTTCTGGATCTATATCCTTCGTCGAAGTGAGAGACATGAAGTATTGGAAGCCGTGACATCCGCCGCTTTCGACGCTCACTCGTAACGCCAAGTCGGGGTTCTGATCCGTCTCAGCTATGGTCTGTAATCGATGCGCAGCTCGTGGCGTTATGGTAATCGTCATGTCATTACCGGAGTCATCTTGTCGGGGATTCGTGATGGCGACGGCACGTCTTTTGGCAGTGCTGCTTAGAGTCCGCCTCTGCGGTATTCGCTTTGATACAGGATTCTCAAGCGTCCCAGATATTCTTGCGATAGATCGGCATGATGGAGCGAGAAAGTCTAGGAATAGTGGCGCTGGTGTGTGAAAGCTGCGTTGTCTCGGAGGCTGAAGCCATGTCTTCGCCGTCCCAGAGCCCGCGAGGGTTCTTGATGATCGTAACGTCCGAGCGCAGCTTCTGCATATACTAGGAGTCGCCATAGTGGTATCGTGGTACCCCGTAGATGTTGTTTGCTTTGCGCATTCATTTGAAAGAGCATCAGCGTGAGCGAGCATTGGTAAGCGGAGCGGGTCCCGGAGGTTCGGCCCGAGTTTTGCCGATGTTTGTCTCGATCGCAGCTTGTTAAAGCACATGTTTCCTTGATCGACATGCCGCTGAGGCAAGAGACGCCACTGCTACGATTATCAGGATCTCATTCTCAAGACAACAGGTGACTATCCAGCTGCTATGGAGCGCTTGAGCACGGCCGGCAATGCTGAGAAGCTGTCACGTTGCCTCAGAACGCTGCCCATTTGCACAGGCAAATACTATTCGGCAATTAACTCGATAATATTTAGCAATTCTCAACCCTAATACGGACAAGAGTGCGCACGGACGATTTACAGTATACTTTCCGGGTTTCAGTCTCTTCTAAGTAAGCAGGTAGAGGTGCTTACAAACTACTACCTAATAGTAGTAGTTAGGGTTAAGAACGAGGTATAATTAGAAGCTATAGACTAAGTAGATATAGATTTTAGTGCTAGTTGCTATAGCCTATATACTAATATTGTCGTAGGTAAAGCCGTAGCTCCTACTACTATAATACTAGACCTTACTACCCTTACTAACCTTGCTAACCTTACTAACCTTACTAACCTTACTAACCTCCGCGGAGTAGAGCTATAGACGGTAGTAGAGCTATAGAACCTAGCATATGCTAGTTAGATAGCGGTAGATAGTCGAATATAGTATATTATATCGCTACCGGTAGACCTAGAGCCTACGGTAGTATAGGTTAACTACTATAGAACTAGACAAACTATCGCTCCGAGTAAGGCACTACTAGCGCTATTAGACGTTATCGATTAAGTGCTATAGCGGCTCTTTAAATACTAGCTAGATCGTTACTAACAAAGCCGTAGCGCTTAGTAGGTATATAGACTAGCAGAGCTAAAGGTCGTAGTTATTATATTGCCGTACGAGTACGAGGTTGTTATATTAATGCCCTCGTACGCCGTCTATAGCCTCTTTAAGAAGCTAGGTTTAACTAATCTACGTATTCGAAGCTAGAAGCCTCTCGTTAATTAGTACGTACGTATCTTCTAGCAGGTATAGCCGCTCTACCTCTTCTACCTCTTCTACGGCGGTTGTTTAGTAATACTAATAGCTCCTAAACTAAGCGATTAACCTTAATAATAGCTCGTAGCGGAGCTGCGGCTTTATTAATATACTAGTAGCGATTAAAGTGCGTATAGGGGTTAAACTCGAAGGATCTAGTTAACTCGATTAAGTCGATAATACTATACTTATAGACTATACCCTATACTATCCGGAAACAACCTAAGCACTAAGAGCGCTGTTTGCTAGGCTCCTTAGCAAGCTTAGCTATCTCTTCGTACGCTAACTTTAGCTAATCGAGTGCCTTCTATAAGCCCTTACGGTAGATCTTTGTATTAGCCTTAGCAAACTTAGGACGGCGGAGACAACTAGGTATAGCTATTCGTTTAATGCCTATATAGGCAGTAATCTTAGCATAGCAAATAGCCTACTATAGCTTTAATTTAAGGAAGAGGGTAAGGATATTATACCGCTTGCTAGCAAGCTAGCGCTTTATCGTTAAGTAAGCTCCTTCTGCCCTCGAAGTAACTAATTAACCGTAGAATAGAAACTTAGTTTGCTAGAAGCAGTGTACTAGCTTCTCTTTATAGGTCTAGTATTTACGGTAGATATATTCTCGGAGGGCAACAAAGTAAGGGTTCTCGTAGTTTGCTATCTAGCGGTCCTTAGTATTAAATTCTTCGAGAGTCTTAGTATAGATATACTACCTAAAGTTGTCGACGAATATAGTATAATCGGGGTTATCTTGCTACTTATTCTTGCCTATCTCTTTATTAAGAACCTGCTTCTATAGTATTAGCTTCCGGGCCTACGCCTATACGTTCTTAAAGATATGCTAGGCGCAAATAAGAGCCGGTATTCGAGGATAGGTCTTGTCTAAGGTATTTATATAACTACGGTCTCGGTCGGTAACCTATAGGCCTAGTAGAGGCAGGTTGTATATCTTATATAGAGCCTAGAATTGCAGCTTGCTTAGCAAACTACGTAAACGCAGCTTCGTTCTTATTGCCTATAATATAGTATCTAAAGGGGATAGTATTACTAGCTCTAGTGCCTGCTATAATGTTTAAAAGCGGTCGATTATAGCGGTTAGTTTTGTATATATTGTCGATAATTAAATACTCTAGATACCGCTTGTATAGCTCGGCCATTTATAGGTTAAGAACAAGGAGCTTGTCCAATTTGCTATTAGAATCTACCTCCTTTGCGAAATAGAAACCTAGCTCGGTTAGCTACTTAAATAGGGCCTTAGATATAGTTAGGTTACCTTGCGCTGCTTTCTTAGTATAGGCCCTAACATTATAAAGGTCCGACAGCAGTTGTATACCTGTTTTAAGGGTGTTAGTGTTAGTATACTGTCTTATAAAAAGATTAATATCGAATATAGAAGAGGGCTTAGTAACCGGCCGAGACTCGGCCGGTTACCTTTATATTCGAATAACACCTTTACACTTATATTATTTGCCTTCTATTAGTCGATATAACGTCGTATAGACACTCGTATTAGCATTTATATTATCCGTTATTATCTTCTTAATAGCGTCGTTACGCTTACGCTGTCGATGCGCCGCAAAATAGGCAGGCGCTTCTACTAGATAATTATAGGTACTATAGACTAATCTAACTTGCTAGCGGCTATCTAGATCCTTCGAGTTATAGGCGCTTAACGTAAGCGATACTAGACACTTCTTACGAGCAGAAGCAGCCTTTAGTCGCTTTGTATTTTTCGATAGATCTAATAGCTTGCCTCCTTAATTATAGAGCAACTAGCGAGATACCTACGGAGCCGTATTCTACGCTGTTTTAGCCCTCGACCTGTTTCCGGACTTAATAGCCTAGCAAAAGCCGGCTCTTATTAAGTGTTGTTATACTACTAGAATAGTAGCATCTATAGAGCGATAAGTATTCTTCGGTAGCGCTAATAATAGCAAGATAGTATCCTTATCCGACTTATTAACCTCCTCGCTACCTTTATCGACCTACTAAGAAACAGCCGCTATTTCGTCTTTCTTTTTAGCTTCTATTTCGAGCTCGTACTTACGCCGTTCCTCCTTATTTAGAAGCGCTAAATCTACCTCCTATTTATCTCTAATTCTACTATCTGTAGCTAGTATATTAGCTTCTACTTTAGCTTTATTAGTCTCGTTAATATCTTAGAATAAATCGTCCGGTTAGCGGTCCCTAATACTATTTCCGAAATATAGGCCTTACGATAAAATAGACGACTCGTAAAGAGCTTAAGAATATAAGGGCGGTAGAACCTCTGCTTATAAAGAGAGCGATATAGCAAGATAACAATACCTTAGTTTAGTCTATACTATTAAATTTCTATCGATATAAGATAAGGTTTCTAGTAGAAAACACGCGACGCACCGCATCCCTTAGCAAAGTACTATTTCCAGCCATTTACAGTAACAAGAACGCTAATAGCCGGGCAGTAGCGCGTTGCCCTTTATGGGTTGAGAATTGCCAAATATTATCGAGTCAATTGCCGAATAGTATTTGCCATTTGCACATAGCCATCCTCAGCTTCAGAGGACTAAACGCCAGAGACTTGCAATGGCCAGACCAGAACGTGAGCAACCGAGCAAGTCTATCCTGGATCGAAATTCCATTGAGAACTTCGTGAAGAAACATCTTGGAGATGGGCGTGGTGAGTAGAAACTCATCATTCAAGAAATACCTCAACCAACACCCGGGCACAGTGAAGACACAACACCTGCTTGGCGCCGTTGTCTTCTCAATGTATGCCGCCAAGCATGCGACTCCATGGAAGCTGGCAAGCTCAAGCTCAGCATGTCCGGCAGCTTTCGAGCGGCGAGATTGCACAGTACACAGGACATTGCTACGTCGACCACTACTGCGAGCGCATTGATAACACATGGATATTTGCAGGAATCAAACCGCACGCACCACTTCACCGCAAAGGTTGGAAAATTGGAAGACGTGATCGGGAACTTCAACTGGCACTCAACCACTCGTACATCAATCTCATCACTCTTTGATCAACCACCAATACCTCTCTCCTCCAAACCTTTGCCGATACTGCCCCTCCAGGCCTCCACCCTCGCGTTTGCCGTTCCCGCCGCCACTTCCTTCATCTCCCCAACCCTCCCATCCTCCAACTTCCCAAACTCCTCATCCCCAAACTCCTCAAGCGTCATCGGCGCCGGGAACGTCTCCGCCAACTCCTTCTGCGAAGCATCCAACTCCGTCCCCACAGCCAGCGGCACAATCTCGAGAACATGTACACTACTCCCCTCCAAACTCTGCCGAATGCCAACCACACACGCATGCACCGCCGCCTTCGTAGCGCAATAAACAGAAAACACCCCTCCCATCGGCACGAACCCCAATCCAGACCCAGAAATCATAAACGTCGTCTCAAACCCCTTGCGCCAAAAAATTTCGGAACAACATGTCTGGCAATCACCATCGGACTCGTCACATTTTCCCGGTTCATCCTCTCATCGGAACTCGTTTCAATCTCGTGGAGATTCGACGTAGACTGAATTCCAGAATTGACCCAAACGGTATCGATGTTTGGGTATCGCTTGAACAGCGTGTCAATGTGTGTGGGGAGTGCTGAGTTTTCCAGACCTGTGCCTAGCTCGGATTTGAGCTCCTCGAGACGTTCGGTGCGACGACCGGTGATGATTACGGTTTTGTTCTGTGCGTGGAAACGGCGGGCGAAGGACTCGCCTATGCCTGACGTGGCGCCGATGATGAGGTATGGTTTTCATGATTGAGAGTTGGGAAGACATGATGGGTTTGGCGCGCGTGTGTGTTGATGTTTGATTGTTTGTAGGTGTCAAGTCATGTTGAAGGCCGTATATATATATGTGTCTGAAATTCTGCTCCATCTGCGGACGTACAGACGACTACGTCCGCTGCGATCGACGACGAGATTCCCCAAAATGGCAACACGTTGTTTCAAAACGGATTTTGAGATTCTGGCGACCGTGCCAGAGGATGCGAAGCTCGCGAAAATTTTGGCGAATGCGCAGAAGAGCGGTATGGCTTATGGCTCGAAGCTTGTCCTGGGTTCGGTCTTGGTGTCCAAGCTGACATCTGAAGCCATTCTGCCTTTCCACTGGCACAAGATCAAAGGAGTCGCCTCCTATCGTTACGATCGCAGGACACTTCATCCCACCAGGATCTGAGCTGAGCATCAGCCCTATTGCCCATAACAGGTGCAAAGAGATCTTGGGAGATGATGCCGATGCCAATGCCTGGCGACCAAATCGCTGGATTGCAGATGGCAGCGACGCCAGTAACGAGTATTTCCGAGGAGTAGAGAAGTTCAATGCCCTGGTAAGTATCGTCTGATCGCCCAAGCAGCGATGACTGATGACTATATGCATAGTCCGGTTGTGGATCTCGAGCATGTACATGTACATTTGGCAATGATCGAGGTGCACAAATTCGTGGGCCAGCTGATCCGACAGTTCGACTTCATCGTGGAGAATCTTCTGGGCCCATTTATGAGATCTCTGCAGGAGAAGCTGCTAGTGAGGGAGCGATTTGTAGGCATCCATGTGGCGTCAGGACTGCTCGTTCATCCGGGGCTCGCTCTCTCATAAACATTCGCGAGACTGCGGTAGATAGCACCCATGCGTGCCACGACGCCCCAGACCCAAGTGTCTTCGTAGAAAGTGACCCAGAGGCGTAGCATGGATGCAGCCTTCGACCTACAGGTACTATCGCCAAAATCGCAAACAGCTGTTCTCAGTACGGTGATAATGTGGTCAAGCAGTTGAACCTCTTCGTCGTCCATGTCTTGGGGAGCGAGAAGGTCCATATGATGTAGCCATCTTGAAACAAGAAGGACCGTGTCCCAAGAAGCAATTGCATGCTCAAAGCTCCATGTCAACGCCACGGTCTTCCGCAATAGCAGCAGAGATCTTCTGTCTGACGCACAAAGCCCATCAAACACTCCAGCGATGGTCTCTGTCATGGTTTTACTTCGTGTCATCGGCGCTGTAGCGTATTCTTGAATAGCGATGGACGCATCTTCGGGCTGACCGCGAAGCAGAGCTGTTTTGTCCGGCTGAAGTAGCTGTGGATGCGATCTTCCATGGCATATTCGCAGTATACAGGATGCGTTGAAAAGAAAGCTTGGTTTCGCCTGTAGCCAGTCGCCACATTGAGCTTCACCGGTTGCTTTGATCAAGTCTCGACATCTTGCAAGGGTGGTCCCATACAGCGAAGTATTTTCTTGGTCGGCGTAGCCACCGTGCCACATATGGATCGCCATCGTGTGCATTACGACAACCACGGCGAAGTGAGACCAAGTGTACGCGCCAGGCGGAAGCTCTTTGGCCGTTGCTTTGAGAGTCAGGATGTTCACGGAGTCCCGAAGCGAGGGCAGTGTATGCTCAGCTGGGCGGAGATGGTGCCACTCATCAGCGCTCTCGGCCTGCCAGAGATTCTCCGAGCAGGGCAATTCTACATCGCCATGGTATGGAACGGAGAGGGCGGGAGTCACGCCATAAGTTGTGGCAATCAGATTGCTCAGGATCCAGATGCCGTGTAATAGGCTGTACACTTGTCAGCACGAAATGCTGCGAGGTTTCTTGAAGGCGTACCGTTTCATGGATTCATGCTCCACCCACTGGAGCCATGATAGCGTAGTGACAATACTGTTTGCGTTCTTGCTTCTCAACTTTCGCAGTAGCAGTTGATACGCCTGTCACGATATTAGTGGTCTGCCCAGCAATCAGAGATGGCTCGAGGCGTAAACGTAGCGTACATTCGAGAGCTTGCCAAGCCTACCAAATGCACTTTCCACGACTTCTTGGTTGCCACTGAACACAGCGAAGAATGAAAGAAGGAATTGAGTACGTGCAGCAGCCAGATCGACACCGCTGTCAGGGCCTGTATTGGGCTGGACCAAATCCCCTGAATAAAATAGCTCGGTATACGTCAGGTCAGGTGGCAAAGGATCCTTCAATGTCCGAGACTCGGCCGCAAGGTATACGTCAGGTCAGGTGGCAAAGGATCCTTCAATGTCCGAGACTCGGCCGCAAGGTATAGGTAGGTAGCCGTTTGACGTTCCAAGCGGTATAAAGCTCCAATCGCACCTATCAACAGCAGCAGTTCCGGAGGCTGGCTTGCGCAATCAAAGGTACGTGTGTGGAAAAGCGGAAGATGTACATTGAAGGTCTGAAAATAGGTGCTGATGCAAAGACGTAGCTCGTCCAAAGTAGGAGGTGGATATCCCGAGGTGCTTGAGAGAGTAATTTGGTCCAGTGCAGAAGACAGCGCGTGGTTTGAGATGTTGACTTCGGGGCAAGGCGAAGGTGGCTCAGGGGCTACACTCGGCGACATTGCTACCGCGGCGGGAATAACTTCGCCTTGCGCCTGAGCATCACCTACTGGTCCAACAGAAGTAAGTGCCGGATCAAGCAGCATTTCCACATGCTGTTCCCGTCGGTCGACAGTGTTGCCTTCATCGTGGTCAAGTTGGAATGGCGACAGAGAAGCTCCCGGTGCCAATTCTGATTTGTCCCATAGCGAGGGGTCTATCTCAATACCTAGAGCCTGGAAGTCCAGATCGTCCGCCGCTGCAACTCCCGGCCAGAAGCCATCAACGGCTTCTGAAGGCGTCGCTATCATGGCTGACGCTGACGATGACCTGCGTCGATCCGCATGCAAGGTCTTCTCATGCCTTGCGACTAGATCTTTTCGACTGTAGTATTTTGCACAGTACCGACACGCAAACGGCTTCTCGTTGGTATGGCTTCGCACATGTCGCTGATAGTGCTCTCGTCTTTTGAACGACTTGGAGCAAAGCGAGCAGTGATGAGTCCGATCGCTGCTAGTCTGCCGTTCGAGGAGTGAGCCAGGTGATCTCAGAGCTTCCTGTGCCGCTGAAGATGCCATGCTGCCAGCAAGATCGCCATGGGTGTAGTAGTAGCGTTATGCTCCTATATAGTGCGGATGTCAGCCAGACAAGAGGAGAGGAGAGGAGAGGAGGTACTTAGCAGGGCAGGGTCCAGGCGGCGCTCGGCATGCGGGTTGGCGGGATGGGAGCCACCCAGAAAGCGGGGATGGATACTGCCGGCTTAGCGGGAGGTTGAATGAACATTTGATGGCCGAATTGACGCTTTCAATCAAATGCGCAGCGCAGTCCCCTTCCCTCCAACATGGCTCATCTTTTGACTTCACACATCTGCGCTCGCAGCTTTGCAACTTTCTTGCGATGCCGAAAGCATTCCGGAAGGCCCAGGCGAAACGCTCCCGCTCTTTCGGAGGATGTGGAACGTGTCGACGACGCTAGGTGAAGGGCGACCACGTCGGACCGACTAGATTTGCCTGACTTGCAAAGCTGTCGGAACAGAACGCGAGGACTTTTCTGCTCAGATACGATAGAGGAAATCGTCCCACGACAGCAAATGAGCCGGAAGATGCGATGCTTGTGGGTCAACGCGGTGCCACACGCCGGCATCTGATTCTCTTCTCAGGCAAGTACTTATTGGTCGCGAGCTGGGAGAAGCTGGCCTTGAAACTTACTCGCAGATCAAGGCTGTATATATCAATATAGACAGCAAGCTCTAGATACCTTCACCAACAATGTGAGCCAATGCGATCTGGACATCGATGGCATTGTTTCGAGGCCCAAGTCGGAGCGTGGAGATGCTCTGTCTCACCTCCCAACGTCGATGTTTCCATGGAATCTAGCGCATTGCATGATCGCAAGCGAGATAACGCTCTGCTATGCTGAAGGTGCTCACGGAAGGATGATGTGGTTCCAAAAGCCCTCGATGATGCCAGGGACTCGTGGGTCTCATGGAAGTCCAATGATGCTGCCCATTGTAACCCCGCGATCCCGAAGTGCAGATGTTGTCAGTGTTCTGGATACTGTTTGTTTGGGGAACTTCTGGCCGCCAAGAAATGGCGCCGCAAGTGTGAACCTTCGTGCCATCCTCATCACAGCATGCTCTCTCATGAACAGCGCGTCGCCAAGTCATCACGAGGCTCCGAGCGCACATGGCGAACCTAGCAAACACAAGTGTGCCCGCAACGGATCCTTCCCACAAGATACAGCAGATGAAAAGGGGCACTTGGGGCCTGGATCATGTCGCCGAGTTGATGTCCAAGGAGGCATTGGCAGCATTGCTTGCCTATACGCCGCAGCCCTTCTTCCTGGACGTCGCCACGACACCGCCCCCCGTCTACCTCCAGATCATGGCACAACGACTCTTGGAAGCACTGGCCTGGATGTCCCCTAGAGACTACGAGATCGTGCTCCGCCTCTTCTGCCCTCCAACCTTTCGTTTCCGTGCAGCATTCCCGGAGACACATCTCATTGCCATGAATCTAGAAGACCACATCAAGAATTCTTACGCCTTTCGTAGGGCAAACCCGGATCATCGTATCGAGGTCAGGAACACCTCCATATTGCTGGACGAGAGAATGGGCAAGGCTGCTGTATTCATGAGTACCCGGGTCGGTGGCCTGTTTGCGAGCCACGGAACGACAAGGGAGTCGGTTAATAAAATGCATTGGCAACGACTGTCCAATGGGCGTTGGCATATCGTAGAGCTGTCCTCGTTGCGCGGTCCAGGCAATTTTCCCTTCTGAGATCACGCCTTCTATCGAGCCGAGCGTCACAGCCTTGTTGGGACCGACTCTCACCAGCAATCGACTCTCGAATCTGCAGAATGCGGAAACACTCTTCTCAATACCATCCTGCATGCCGATGAAGACTGCGCAAGAGAGCATCAATTCTCCTCCAGCGGAGACATTTATCACCACACCAGGATCTTTTTGGCAGAGAGCAAATTGCGTCAGCTCCAATGCTCCTCGTGCCTGCCGATCTCAGTGGGGCCTTCACGAGGTCGATTTATCCGCAAATCAAATACTAGCCAAACTTGACCTCCACGTCATTGAAAATGCGGAGAAACTCCAAGGATATCAACGAGGTCCACATGGTCGCGGAGGATCTCATCCGTGGTCACGCCATTACCCGGGCATCCTCTTGTCAATATATGGCGTGATATCTCACGAATCCCTCGGGATCTATCACAACTCCAACTATGGCCTTCTCGACTTTCGCAGCATCCTTGCTACTCGCAGCGGCCGCTCAGGCCCTCGACAATGGCTTTGGCAGAAGTCCTGTTATGGGCTTCAATACTTACAACGACGTGGCCTGCACGCTGAATCAGTCGTATGTGCAGAACACGATAAATGCCTTCTCTAGCAAAGGATTCGGTGATCTAGGCTACAAGTACTTTCAGATCGACTGTGGATGGCAGGGCCGCCAGCGGCAAAGCAATGGCTCCATCACGTATGATGCCAGCGTCTTTCCAGATGGCATAACTCCTCTTTCGAAGTTGGCGATCAGTAAAGGATTTCAATGGTCCATGTATACCGATCAAGGAATATATGCCTGTGACACGGCCAAGGAGTTAAGGCCTGGGAGCCTGAACTATGAGAAGCAGGACGCTCTCATGTTCGCAGCCTGGAACACTGCATACGTCAAGGTACATTCGAAAGCCTGTGGTCCAGTACATCAACTGACACAATGCACAGATCGACAACTGTTACGTGGATGGAGGAAGTTCCGAACAGAACGCACCCAAAGATCCTCGAACCGATTTTCCGTCGCGATATCAGGTCATTTCTTCGGCAATTCAAGACGTGGGCATCAAAGGCATCTTGATTTGCCAATGGGGTACGCCATACCAGAGCCCGAGTGGATTGCAGGGCCCTTCCGCGTGGACTCCCTCTTTGTCTAATTCCAATCGAGTGTCGGATGATATCATTCAAGGCTGGGCCAATGTCATGCGTATCATGAACGAAGCCATTCACGTCAATTTGCGAGGTCTGTCTGGGCCAAGTCATTTCGCTGATATGGATCTACTCGAGGTCGGCAATCCTGGGATGACGGTTGACGAACAGGCGAGCCACTTCGCTATCTGGGCATATTTCAAGAGTGCTCTGATGGTTTCGACCGCTATACCCACGATGAGCACTGCGACTCAGAACATCTTGCAGAACAAGGACCTGATCGCGATCAACCAAGACTCGCTTGGCGAGCCCGTGAAGCTCGTGCAGCGCTTCACCGACGATAGCGACGTATATGCTGGCTGTCTTGCAAATGGGGACCGGGCTGTCCTGCTTCTTGACCAGTCTAACCAGACTCGATCGCTGGCAATCAATTTTCCAGATCTTGGAATTGCTTCAGCGACGGTGAAGAACTTGTGGACTGGTCGCACGAGAACTGGCCAAACCTCGTATACAGCGCAGGTCAATGCGCATGGCTCGCTTCCACTTCGACTCAGCGACATTCAGACCGTTCCAGTTCCTGCACCTAAGCTCACCTGGATTGAAGCAGAGTCCGGCACACTCGCCGGCGGAGCCAACATTCAATTCTGCTCTGGCTGTTCCGGCTCTTCGAAAGCAGGAAACATTAGCGCAGAAGGTGGATCTCTCACCCTCAGCGGCATTCGAACGAGTCAAGCGACGCAGGACGTGCGATTCGATTACATTGACTGCGAGATCGGCTACTTGGCGGATCAGGGGACGAACGTCCGAGGAGCGAGTATCAGTGTCAATGGAGGTCCAGGGCAAAATGTCCTGTTTCCGCTGACTGGCTACAACTGGGACCGAGACGTCACGAGGAACCACTTGGTGAGGCTGAGCGGATTCAGCACAAGCGGCATAAATACGATCAAGATCAGCGGCCTCAGCGGAAGCTCGACGTACGCTCCAGATTTCGATCGTATTGGCGTTGTAGCTTGATAGAATCGAATGAGCTCTCTATGATAAAAATAAAATATTGCCATAGCTGCCTTCGCACGTTTGTGTCGTCCTACGAGCTGAACGCTTCCTATAATTCGTCTTGTAGCCAGACATTCTGACGTGCCACGCATCAGCCTGCAGTGGCGAGGAAGCTCGAGCCTCGCGTAACGCTTACTGATCCTTCAGAGTTCAGCTATAACTTCTATTTGTATGCCAGCTGACATACAAAGCTCGCAAAACTGCCAGCTTGATACAATACCGTCAAACATGCGACCATCAACATGGGGGGGGGGATGAATTCTAAGAAACGAAGCAACGACACAGTCTCCGCAACATTCAATCGTGTGGTTGAATGAGTGGATATAGGCCGGTTGCCTGAGTAGATAGCGCTTGAATGAGATTAAATAGCGAGCGACTAGCGTATAGTTGAATAAATAGACAGGCTATTACATGTAATAGCGTATAGTTAAGGTTGATTAACTGAATAATACAGGTTAGCGGAAATAAGTAAATACTAGCTATTCAACCTCGCCGTTGCTATTACGTCTACTGCTACTGCTACTACTATCGTCGTCTACTATTAACTAGGTTACCTATCTATTAGTAAGGCCTCGAATAAGCCAATTCTTTAGGCACTAGTCGGCCTTAATTGCCTATATAGTAAGGTAGTGTCTATAGTCTATAACTATTAATTTGCTATAGCTAAAGACTCGCTCGCATTCTAAGCTTATTACTAGAATAGCAAACAGCGTAAACGCTAGCTATACGAGTGTTAGATACAGCCCTTCGCTACGGTCTTGCTACTAGTCTAGCGGCCGAGTATTATAGAAGTTATTGTCTAGTAAGGTGCCGCTATACTTATAAGTTGTTAAGTCGTCGCTTAGATAGCGCTCTAGCTCATTTTCTATCGCCTATCGCCTCTTACTATTGCCCTTAGAAGTAAAGTCGGCGAAGGCGTCTTCGAAGAAGTCGAGGTCGTTGTCTTACCGGCGGCAATCGCGCTCGTTATTACGGAGCTCTTAAGGTAATAGAAACTAGTAAGAAGGCTTATCTTCTAGCTATAGAAGTGAGGCAATAAAGTCCGTATATAAGTCTACTACTGCTTGCTTTGCCTTAGCAATCTCCTTAACGGCCGTCTTCTTATTACCGTTCTCGTTAGTCGCGTCTTTGCCGTACTTAAAGCCTACCTATCTCTTTTTGAAGAAGTCGTATTTCTTTATAGGGTAAAGGATAACGGCGCTACGTAGAAGGCGGCTAGAATTAAGGTCGTTATAGAGCTGTTCTATGCGTAAGAAGCTAGCGTCGACCTTAGCTCTATAACTGCTAAAATTTAGTGTAAGGCGCTAAGAATAGCAAGAATAAGTACTTATACGTCGCTAAAGTCGTTACGGTCGATACTATAGGCTTCTTCTTACCGCCGAGTAAGCGATTGATATAGCGTATCTAATATAGGGTAAATCTCCTATAGAGCGCTAAATAAGCCGTATATTACGTTACCTTTAATCCGCTTCGTAGCCTCGAGGAAGGGGATTAATAGTCGCTCGTACTACTACAATTCTTTCTAGTTAGAGTTAGTTAAGTAGTCTTAAGCGAGGTTGTAGCTACTATCAGGTTTCTAGAGACGGCAGAAGCGTTAAATAACTGGCTTTAACTTTAAAGCGCGTTATATTATCCGGAGGGTTGAATTCTATCGTATACCGCTATCTTTAACAAGGCGAAGAAGGACGTTATTAGCTTCTAACTCTAGGTTAGCTAAGTCCTTCTAATACCGTACGAATAGCGCCGAGCGCTTTAGTGACCGTATAATGTATTTAACAGTGTTGTAAAGCCGTCTAATATTGCCTGCCTTCTCGCGCTATAGCCGGAAACTATCGTCGTCGCTCGCACGTTAGAGTTCTTTCTCCTATTAACCTATTCCTTTACTAAATAGCATTGCGCGGACAATAAGGTTAATACTGTAACCTATATATCTATAGCGAGCGTCTGCTTCGTAGAGTAGTATACCGAGAGCGATAAGCTTAGTAATAGTCGTATCGTTATTAGTTGCGTTATCTGTTTGAAACGCGGTAATTCTATCCTTAATCTCGTATTCTTAAAGGACTTCGTAAAGGACTAGAGCAATAACAACGCTATAGTAGCTTAGAAGCGGTCGAAGGGCGATAAGAGCGACTTAAAGTTGCCTATTCTCGTCGATCTAGTATACTATAATAGCTAGCAACGACAGATTATTAGGTATTGTCTAGATATTAAAGGAGATACTAATCTTCGAGACAGCCTTTAGAATAGCCGCCTTTACGTCCGGTTTACGCTCCTTATAAGCACGGAAGAGCTAGTTACGTATAGTACGCGGACAAGGCAAGAGATCCTTAACTAATAGACTACTAGTTAATATTATCTTGTATAGCTCTTTAGAAGCGGCGTCTTCGAAGGAGATATCGCGTCTTGCTATCTAGTTTATAAAGTCTTAAACCTACTAAGCGGCGTACTCTAGCGGAAGCTAGTCGTAGCTATTATTCTTCGGATAGTTGTCTTGTTTATCTGCAATCTTCTTCGCTCTACGTTTACTTAGAGGTTTATAGCCGTAGTAGACAACATAGTACCTTGCCGGAGTGCCTATAGAAGCTACGCTCTATACCTGTTTATCGGCGTTATTAAGATAGCATTGTTTATAGAGCTAGAAACGACCCTTATACTTCTGCTTCTTTAGACACTACTTTATAAGCTCTATACCGTACTTAAATACCTATAATATGCGTTTGCCGATAGAGTGTTTAGTACGTGTACGTAGTCGAAACTAGCCTAGTAGGCGGTCGTAGAATACGTTGAATTTGACGCGTTAAGAAGCCGCAATAAAGCTGCCTTCGTCTCGTTCTATAGCGGAAGAAGTTATAGTCGTAGACTCGGTCTCGTTGTCTCCGCCGCTCTCGCTGCCGCTCGATAAATCGATAGGCGTTTCTACTATCTCGGCGCTTCGTATCTGTCGCTATAATTGTTGTATTAGGCGAGGCTATAAGGTCTAGGTTACTAGAGGTATTTGTTAGCTAAAGGCGAGAGTACCTTGTAAAAGACGTGTTTTCTTTCGTAACGGCCCTAGTTTGCTATCCGCCGAGGAAACCGTAGCAGGTCGTTTTCCTAATAACTTCGGAGGCATATTAAATAATTTTCTAGATGCGTAGATAGTGTATAAAAAATGATAGTATACGTTAAATAGTAGTGTTTTAATTAGGAGTTACGAATTCGGAGGAGGAAGCGGAGATTTTAGGTGTATAGCTATAGTGGATTTACTTTAAACCGCGCCTAATTTACGTGTATCTATACGCGGAAAGCTTAATACACACTCTTTCTACGCGCGTCGAAAAATCGGCTGTATTTATAAACTTAAACTTCTACACCAACTTCTATAGCTTCTACTACCTTATAATCGACAACCTAACCTAGTATTATGCTATTTATAGCGCTAGCATCGACAGTTATATAGCTAAATCAATCCGTGTATCTTAGGCGTAGCTTTAAGTATTTCTAGCCTTTCCTCGGGACTTCTACTATCGTCTAAACCGTATAGAAACATACGGAATTAGAGGTCTAATAGCTTCTTGCTTATGCGAATGCCTAGTTTATAATACCTCTTCTTTAGATACTGCATTCTCTTATATAAGGACTAGCGCTTATATAACCCCTTCTTCTTAGCTTGCGCGGCTGTGTCTTTGCTGCTAGAAGTGGCCTATTGTTGTAGCACTTCTAACAAGCTATTAGCCTGCTTTGTCGGCTTTGCTAGACTAGCTTCGAGAACGATAGGGTTCTATTACACTACTGTTATTCTATATGCTTAGATTAACAAGGTTGCAATATAATACTAACCTCTCGAGATCCGGAAGCCATACTATACTGTTAGAGGTATAGTTATCGAGAAAGAGAGCCTCGCAGTATAGGTAGAAAGCTAGACCTATAAAGCCGGAAATTGGCTTCTCGGAAGAGGCCTTATCTACTACTGTATACAGCGATCTATATGCCCTCGGAGCCGTGGAACACTGCTGGATATTATATTACACTGTCTACTTAACCTATAGATTACTGTAGCTCTTAACCCTTAGTATATACTATAGGGTTATCGAGGACGACAACGAGGCGGACTAACTTTACTTAATAGACTCCAAATTCTTTATATAATTAACTGATTGAATGACGATATTATTACGTAGTTGTATGAGCTAGAAGGAGCATAATTGATTGAATAAAGACGTTGTTACTCATTCACATGCTCATGTAATTATTCATGTAATTGAATGTTGCGGAGACTGCAACGACATCCCCCCATCTTTTTTCATCGACCCACAAAATCAACAGACATAGAGCTAAACGTCAGGCAACACAATGGCGAAATCCAAAAAAAACCAGCTCCCAATGCAAGTGACGCATGTAGCCCTCAAAATCCACTTCCCCACGAGCTAAGACATGCACTCCAACCCCCGCAAGATACAGACCTGTAGCTCAAAGCCTTCCTTCGAAACAAAATCCTCCTCCAATGCACAAGTGATGACGGGACGAGATGATGCGCGAAATTTTTGATTCGACAGGGAGAGGATCTCGGTGCAAGGGTGATTTGCATTCCAAGGACGTACGTCGCCAGGCGGAAGGATGCGAGACAGAGTGTATCGGAGACATTATGCAGAGATTCGGGAATGGGATCGGGATGGGATGGGAGGCGCTTTGCGAGTTTTCTTGGGAAGCAGGATCCTGAGGTTAATGAGAGTGCTATGCATGATGAGATGCTACGGGTGATTGGGTTTATACTTCTCAGAGGGGCGATTTGGACGTTGGTGGTTTGGAGGAGCGCGGTGATGGTGGCAATGGTGATATTGTGGTATTTGAGGTGAGATAATTACTTGTAGGGACCTCAGGAATGATGATCACTATGCCTGTTCTTTTCTCACTCTTATCTAGCTGGAGGGTGAAGCCATGACTCCGCGTAGCCTGTCCATTGTGGCACCTCGCAGAATGATATGGAACGCTCCGAGGTGATATTGCTGTGGAAGGGACCTCTCTTACACTGATCCCAGGTGAAGCCCGTCGGCAAAGGTGCTTCAGGATCGCAGTCAGGATTCTTCTTTCACTCTCATGGAGCTGGAGTGTAGCAGGGACCAGGTGCGTTGGATCTTCGCGGTACTTCTTTTGGCGCTTCTGCCAATCGCGTGCGGCTGTGAGTGGCTCCGTCTCGCTAGGGATGTCTAACGGGACCTGCGAAATCATCGCCTAATCTAGGGAGTTGTCGATGGAGGTGGCCTCGACTTAGTGCGCTGCCTTGCGTCGGAAGACTGTACTGCCTATAAGGATGTATCGGCTACAAATCAGTGCGATCTTGTACTTGCCGTCCGCATTCGCTGGATAGTATAGGTATAGTAGTCCGATTAGCTTGCGTTTTGTGCATAGGAAACCGTACGCCTCTACTGAGCAAGTGTACTAGCTGCCGACCTCCTTTATCGTAATCGTGGTATCGTCAATCATTTGGAACATGTCGCCTAGCTTGACGTCGGCGAGTCGAGTGCCTGTAGGCGGCATGCAGTCGATTGTGACAAAACCCAGTGCGTTGTAGATTGGCACCGAAGTGTCGGCCTAGTAACTGGACTTCAGCCATTGCTCGACATCGGAGTATTCCATTCCGGAGCGCCAAAGGTGAGTATCCTCATTCACGTTCGTGGCGCCTCGGCGAACCTTCTTGTCTGCTTACACTGACCCCAGTCGAAGCCCGTCGCCAGCCCTAATAATGATTCACTCAGCAAATAACACCTGACGTTTACTAGTTCACTTACACTCGACCGATTCCTAGTATTAGAATTGTCTATCCACCCCACGGCTTCTCCGGCACAGTTTTCTGTTCCGTAGACTGCTATCTCACACCTGCCGTAATCACCAATTCTTTCCGCATCACCCCCAACGCGAGAAACCCAGCCATAAGAGAAACCCACGAAAGGCAATTGGTCTTTCCATTCGAAACATCCGCCTTCTCTGATCTTGACTCCATGTTTCCAATAAAATGGGTCGATTCTTTGTTCGTAGGATTTGTAGTGGCATGAAGTAGTGTCAAATCGACGGAAGGATATGCGGTAGTACCACCAGTCTGGGATCGCGTTTGTAAGCATGTACAAATACTCGGAGGGACAACTTGCATTTCCAGCCATTCTACAATTCTCTCCCGCCAAGAGGTCCTCAAAACAGCCAGTCCGATTTTGTTGTAGACGCCGACCAGTCGGCTGGTTGGCTACCAATCGTCGAAATGCTTCAATACTAAACTTCCGATTTGATATTGCAGTGTAGAAACCACCCGCGTGGCCATCAGCGTTGATCGGAGCGACTGTCTTCACGAGGTCCTCAAATGTCTTCGTAGGTCGGCGCCCTGAGGTCAAAATAGTCTGTCAATGTCAGCTCAACATTTGGGTAAGTCTCGTGTGACATGCCGATCAACTCCGATAGCAAAGCCGGATGTGCAGCCTCGCAGAATGACAGGAGCACCATCGCTTCATCCGCACCGCAGAGGCGAGACTCATCCACCGGTGTTAGCCCGCATTCGAATCTGTCTAGTCTGTTTTGGAGCTCACGACCATGGTTATCGAGACCTGTGAGAGCGAGAATCCAGCGAGAGCATTTTGAAGGATAATGATCAGTATTGGGGTCGATCCTGGGGCAGCCATCTCCGAGAGAGCCACTTCATCGCATACATTGAGATTTGAAGAGCGTGGCATGGCGGAGGCCGCACAGGCGAGTGATTTGGTCTGCCTCCGCAAATTACGTTAGCGAGTGAAAGTGGCGCAGAGATAAACGGCTTGTCGAAAGCTTACATCGTTATTGCGCTCCGAATTCGATGTCAGACTCCACGTACTAGAAAGGAGCTCGTTAGCGTAATAGAACATTTTGAGAGGAGCGCTCGTGTGAGTTTCATCCAATGTCACAGCCCGCACACCAAAGAATACCATTCCAAAAAGTAAACAAAGCTCGCAGCAGTGCGCTCGCCACGCGAGCTCTCAGTGGCCCTAGTGGCCATGGTGGCCATGGTGGCCAGGCCGATGCTGGAGTCATTAGGGCCAGCGCCCAAGTCCTCCTCCTCCTCCCCCACCCTGTCGCTTGGTCTGTAGTTCCAGGCAGTCCTGGCAGTGGCTCAGGTATTTCTTCAGTCGCTTGGCCAGCTTCCGGACATAGTACTGGTCGTTTATGCGAGCGTAGGCACGATGGAAGCCAATATGGTATTGATCGTCGTATACACTACTGAAGATGTCGCCTTCCAGTGCCTTCGGAATGCACAATCTTCGGTCGCCAGAGTGTGGCTTGTCGAGCCATACCAGGCCTTTGTCGTCGACAGAGAAACTTGTAGAGCCTGGCTCGGCGTTTTGGACCATCGCCTTGATGTTGCTCCAATACTCGTCTTCCTCGTACGCCTCGATTAGCTATTGCTTGAAGGCGTCATCCATTTGCAGCATCATCACTCCGCAGACCAGTTCCTCGAAGACGTCGCCTTTCGGCAGATGATCATCAGTCGTTTCCAAACGTGACAAGGCATCTGGCACGATGTGCTCTCGTCCTGGCTTGTAGACATCTTCCTCTCCACAACAGCAGCTAAAATCTGGGCCAGCGGCCCCACCCAACACAAAAACAACGTATTGATCAGGCCCTGGGTGAAGAGGGTCCTCGGCATGGCCGCGCAGATCGCAACGATCACCTCCACGGGAGTCTGAGCGCACGCATTTAGCAGGCTCACGGCCAAGCCGGCCCACTTCACCCAGGACCATGACTATTTCCCCCAAAACATGCGGCCAATCCGAACAAAGGCCTCCAGAGTGGCCAGGAAGCACAAGGCCGAAAAGAGCCAGCGGAAACCAATGAAGAGGCTCTTCTTGTCCTCACGACACATGGCTACAGAAAGTTAGCACAGTTTTGCAAACAACTCCAGATTGCAATATGGCACAGGAACATCGCAAAGACTCGAGGTCTGCACGGCTGCAGCTGTTCGGTGGAAATACTTCTTGGAAAGGGCACAGTCCAGACCAGGTAAGTGAGGTTGGTCAAGAGCAGAAGTGACAGCTCAGGTGGGCTGCAAAACAACCAGCTCTGTCGCTACGCCAGGATTTCATCTTCCCAGAAGTGAGATCGAGGGCGTAGCTATACTCCGATGTAGGAAGCGTCTCAAAGAAAGAGCGCAGTCCAGACCAGGAGTTGAGGCTGGGCAAAGGCCAGTAGCCACAGCTCACGTGAGGTGCAAATCGGCCAGCTCCGTCGCAGCAATCGAATCAGGGCCTCCGAGAAGCGAGATCAAGAGCGTAGCCGTTTGCGAAGCTTCGAAGCGCTTCGTGGATAGAGTCCAGTTCCAGCTGACGTGTGAGGCTAGTACGACAGCAGTGGAACCACCACACCTTGGGCAAAGTGCGAGTAGCTCAATCGCAGCATCATAGTTGCGGCCCCCTAGGAATGAGATTGAAGGCGTAGCCGCGCTCGAAGATAGGAAGCGTCCCCAAGAAGTACTCCTGTCTCGGCCGACAGGGAAGGCAAGCTGAAAAGTAGAAGCGCTCCAACTGGGCTGAGATCATCGAGCAGCTCGATCGTGTCGACGAGAGGATGACCCTACGGATGCCGCACGAAGGGCGTAGCCAGTGGGAGATTGTGAAGCCCGATTTGTATGATGTATGGCAAGTGAGACTGCGCGAAGATCAGGCTGCACTCTCACACTGCCTGCTAGAATACAAGCTCGATTGCGGCGTTCAGATGCAAACATCTTGGGAGTGAGAAGCTTGTTGCATAGATGCGAAGCGTCATCTGCTGAGTGGATAGGAGCGTGGCCTTGCGCTCCATCGAGGCGTACAGGTTCCCCTCTCGGGTCACAAGCTTCACCGCCGTGCCTTCTGGTTGGTACAGCTCGAAAGTCCGCGGCATCGAGGCAGGAGAGAGCTGCTAGCAGAGCTGTGGGCTCTGCTCGCTCGTATGCGGTGCTGCGATAGATGAGTTAGGCTCGCGTCGAAAGATGCGGCCGCGCAGGATAGCATGCTTGGCGGCCGTTTGCCACTCTGCAAAGTCGTCGACGGCGATCGTGCATTGCTGAGCCGTATAAGGCGGCAGCCTGTCGGGTTGGGTCTTGCTTGCCTCGTCCAGACATGCAAGCAGCTTGGGCAGCGGTACGGCATTCGTGTCTACGCCTGGCATTCCTAGCACGAGAGCAGCCACTGCGTTGACTGAATCCGCGCCGAAACTGTGACGCACCAGCACATGACTAGGCATAGAGTGTGGGCGAGATCTCATTAGCTCCCGGTGCACTGAAGCTCGACCGAAAAGACGGTGGTATCGTAGATGCGAAACGAGTCGAATCGCCTAGATGACTGCGATATTGAGAGTTGACACATGCCGGGTAGCCAGTTGCAAGGCCTTGCCGGCTCCAAAATAGAAGTGCTGAGCATGGCAACAAAGCTCGAACGGAGGGTTGGCCATGGATTGAGATGGCGATTCGCGCATTCGAACGCAGAGTTGTAGCCCGTTTCGAGCAACGTCAAGCCGTATGGAGACACGAGTCGCGACGTGGCGCGCACAACACCCAACCACAAAGCAGAAGCGTGGTGTGGGAAGAGGAGTGAGTAAGGGTACTCCGAGCCTCGTGGCGTTTCTGCCGGCGCTCCGGACGCTGACGACTCTAGGATAGAAGAGCTGGGTGTAGTACGGAGGATCGCAAAGGAGCGCGAACTCGCACCGGAGATGAGTGAGTATGCACTTTGCTCACGGATGGGTGCCAGTTGCCGTGTGCTTCAAGCCGATGCCTTTCTGGTGGAGGTCTCGGATCAGACGTGATATGCAACGCGCTGATATTGCGAGCGAGGCTGAAAGTCATGTAGTCTGTCGCTTCGAGAAATGCGGGCGCGCGAGCGAGCCCAAGATGGGAAATAGATCGCAGAGTGCCGATCGTAACGTGGAGTGAAGCCCAAGAGAGAGCATTGGTCTTTCCACCTAGACTCCCCTCTCGTATCAAGCTCTTCGCCGCTTCCACCAAGACGATGGTGACAAAAATGTCCAGAAAAGAAACCGATAGTACAGCCTCAATTCCAGGCGATGAAGCAAATCCCTGAGAGGAGAGAACAGGCCCTGTCATGCTCGCTCCGCTTGTCATATTAGGTCGGCCCATACTTCCACTCTTCAAGATGCTCCACCAGAGTCCAGAACCAATGCCAGTAGCATAGACACGGGTCCGCCTTGGAAGGAAGGCCAAAACCATATGAACAGCTGCATCGTGAAACCTCGAGCCTACGGGAAACGTCAATGTCACATGAAAGAAAGGGTCTGCGTATTTCCCACGGCGAATCGGGCATGGACCCAGTTGTCGGATGCGTGGCGTTTCCGCCCGCACTTGCCGTGCCAAAAAGTGAGAAAAGGTAAATCACTCCATACTATAAAGCGATGTTGCTATCTAACACTGATCGAATGAGGTTCAAGTGAGGTTTCTCCTCACTTTTCTCGGCCATTGGGGGAGGTACGAGCGCCTTTTTCTCCAGCGCTCTGCGGTGAGCTTGGCTCAATAAGAGCCGCAAAGCGAGGACGGCGGCTTCGCTGGCGTTGGAGTGCGGAAGCGACTCGTGTGAGGTGAGGTCGTCGAGTGGGGTCAACTCGACGTCCAGAGTGTGGTCGTGCAATGGAATTTTGATGCCGCTGCTCATCTTGACATCGTAGGAGCGGAGCGTGCGTGCTTCTCGGAGCATCTCGTGGTATAATTCTTCGTCGAAAACACTGTCGCGAGCATGGCGTATGCGGGATTCGAGAGTGGATTCGTCGGTGTCTGGTAGTTTCGGTAGTGTCGACTGTCCAATGACTTCTCCATCCTTCTTCAAGATTGCTCTGATTGCCTTTGGTTTCGTTCCCACGCCTCTCTCCAGCTTGATATTGCCCTCCGAATCGGTCATTAGTGCCGCGATGCCTCTTGTAAACTCTGGTCTGCATCCTGCAAATCCGAAATGTACTCCTAACAATCTCTGCTGTGCTCTCTGTCCCGTTGGTATGCGACTCACGCTCCATCCCTTGTTGGTGACATCCAAGATCTGATCCCAAAACATCGTCTCTTTCCGCACATTGTCTTCAAGGCGCTTGCTTGCTGTAAGAAGATCATCTGCGCTCTGCTGGAGGTACTTCATTCGTGCTTTGCTCGCCAATGCATCATCTTGCGCTTCTCTCGTCTTGTCCTGCGGCATGCGGTGCCAAACGTCTGCTGCTAAGGTTCCTGTTGGGGTAGCTGCGGAAAGTGCTGGTGACATGGTGGTCTTGGCCTGAGCTGGGGCATACTTGCTTTCAAGTAGGCTCATCATGTCGAGGGAGAGCAAGATCTGCTGGTGCGCGTCGCTGGCAAGGGTCCAGATGTCGGTCTTGAGAGTGTATAGCTCCTGCCGCGTGGTGGGTTGTTTCTTCTCCTTCACAAGGTCTTGATCTTCGTCGTCGTCACTGCTATCGGACAGCTCAATTCCGCCATCGGCAGCAAGCTCTTCTTGGAGCGAAGCCTCGGTGACGTTTCGAAAGTGGCCGCGCTCATTGTGAAGCTGGGCGAGGACGTCTTTGAGTGGTGGTGTCTGCGTACCATTGGTGGTGGCCCATGGCTTGATTGAAAGCACTCCAGTGGAAGCCATAGTATGGTATGACTGTCAGTGCACAAGTGTGGTAGAGCGTGTCGGAATGAAGTCGAAATTGAGCTTGTGAAGCAGTTTTGTATGGTATGGGTGTCGGTGCAGGCAAGTGCGCAGTGTCGTGGAGCGTATCGGAGTGAAGTCAAGGTTGAAGTCGAAATTGAGCTTGTAAAGCAGTTTTGTATGGTATGGCTGTCAGTGCATGCAAGTGCGCAGTGTCGTGGAGCGTGTCGGAGTAAAGTCAAGGTCGAAGTCGGAGGTTGAGGTTGAGGTTAAGCTTGGAGGGACGCGACTTGAGCTTTTCGCTTGTCGGAAACGCTATTCTAGTCTAATGCACGTCATCAGGCCCCTGCTCACTGCAGCAGCATGTGATAAAGTGGAACGTTATGCAGCTGCGCGGCCATCTCCGTCTCCGACGTTCCTTCACACACCGTCTTCGATATCATGAACAGTGACACCCTCATCAAAGGCTGCATAACGCTGCAGCAGAGTGCCCGGTATGACCACGAGATATCGCGTTGAGTGTGAGTGGTCGCAAGACTGGGTACAGACGGCTGGAAATCGCTAACATCATGGCTGCCCAGATGCACTCAAGACTCATCGCCGCGATCAATTCGTATGCAGAACCGCAAACTTCGTTGGTTCGATGGTGCTGATGCTTGGCAGATCGAATGGATCAAAGGCCTATTGGCCGTGCCTTTCGTGCTTCTATCACAACCTACGAACCTCCACGAAGATGACAAGCCTTCTGTGGACCAAATGGCCAAATCGGCGCACGAGCGATATGCTCAAATCATGAAAGACGTCGAGGAGCTCATAGTCGACCACATCGCTCACCAAAAAGGGGGCTTGGAGAACAAGTCGAAGTTGAAGCTGCTTGTGCCATCGATAGGCACGTTTTTCACGCCCCTTCCACTCCAAGCGGCATTCTTGCTGCAGGATCACAAACGCCGAATCTCCAGCCGTCGCTTCGTGGCACCCTCGTTCAATGACGTCCGTCAGGTCCTGAACACAGCCCAAGCAATGGCTTTGGTGAAAGCAAGCAAGCTGGAGTTGGTCACTTTCGACGGAGACGTAACTCTATACGATGACGGCGACAATCTGAATCCTGACAATCCTGTCATCAAGCGCATCTTGGCTCTAATGAGGTCGGGAGCTAGAATCGGTATTGTCACAGCAGCAGGCTATACTGAAGCCGAGAAATACTACCAGCGCCTTTTTGGTTTGCTCGATGCCGTGGCTGATGCAGACCTCAGTCACGATCTGGAAAAGAGACTTGTGGTTATGGGCGGGGAAGCCAATTTCCTTTTCACCTACGATCCCAACGTGGACTGCAAATTGGTTTCTGTGCCTACAAAAGATTGGCACTTGCCGGAAATGCAGACCTGGACGGAAGAGAATGTCAAAGCTCTGCTCGATGTCGCCGAAGTCGCACTACAGCACTGTATAGACTCCATGAATCTACCTGTGCAGGTGCTCCGGAAAACCAGAGCTGTTGGCATATTTCCACCTAAAGGTGTCAAGCTTGCAAGAGAACAGCTCGAGGAGACAGTCCTCGTTGTGCAGCGAATTCTGGAAATGAGCGAAGCCGGGCAACGCATTCCATTCTGCGCATTTAATGGCGGCAATGACGTCTTCGTGGACATCGGCGACAAGTCATGGGGTGTGATGGCCTGCCAGAGGTATTTCGGAGGCATCGAAGGAGGGAGGAGTCTACACGTTGGCGATCAGTTCTTGAGTGCAGGTGCCAATGACTTCAAAGCTCGACTTGCATGCACGACGGCATGGATAGCAAATCCTACTGAAACGGTAGCATTACTCGACGAGATATTAGAGCTCATCTCTTCGAAATGAACGACAGTCTTGACAGCTTCATGACTAAATGAAACGACTTACACGGCAATTCGCAACATTTCCAACATCATCGCAGGTCATGACTAAATGAAACGACCTACACGGCAATCCGGAATGTTATGTTATGAACCGACAGACATACTCCGAGCTATTTGTGCTTCGTCATATGCCCGGCAGCTTGCTTGCGATGTTCCTCTCATCATCTCCCAAACCCAAACCAGAACAGAAAATCCGCAAAATTTCCTCTGGCAACTCGAGTTCCAACGTTGCCGAGCTTTGATTGCCGTAGTTCTAACGTGCAGGTTCTGTTCAATATGAAGCCTTCTTCAGCCACGTGAAGGTTAACATGCTAGAATCCGCCTTGACCAACCCAGACGATGAATGAGTGCATGTGCAATGCTACAAGCCGAGACTTGTCGTGAATCCACGCGTCATGTTGCAATAATATCATTTGTCTAGCCTATCCTCAACATCATAACATCATTAGATATCAGAGAGCGTGAGCGTGAGAAAAGGAGCTCATCTCATCTCTGCATCAACGAATTCGACATCCGCTAACCATTCCATCGAAATTGAATCCACATATCATCTACCCGAACGCCAACCATCCCAATCCACAAACCACATCCACTATTACCATGTCTTCCTACGCACCTCTACCCAAACCCACACCCACACCCACCGAATTAGCACTCTCACCAACACGAATACTATCATCCTCCGGAATGCCGACGCCCCGGCGACTCGAAGCAGTCGTGCTCTGACTCTCAGATCTCTCGCGCGGACCGGCAACTCCACCCACGCCTCCATCCCAGACACCCAGGCCTGCTGAGTGCGGTGGCGAGGTGAAAGACGGCACACGTGTGAATTCGCGGCTGGCTCTCTCCAAAGTGTTCGATGGGGTCAGGTCAGCAGGGCGCTGAGCATCAACCGATTGCGAAGAATCACGTCTTCTTTGACGTAAAGCTCGTTCCAAATCCCGGACTCTCTGTCGAAGGGCGTCATTTTCTCGCTTGACATGCTCGAGTTCTTCCCTCTGAGCACGCGTGTCTGCGAAATGCTGCATGGCGTTCGAGACCGAGACTTGAGAAGCTGGACTCTGAGCTGGACTTGGGAGTGGGTTTGGCACAATATGATGGCTTGGCGCAGGGGAACCGGCTTGGGCGTGCGTACTGGAGATTGTGGTTTGGGATGGATCACGGGAGAGTGATGGTCGATGTGGGAGGGCATACTGTGCTGAGCGAGAAATCTCCATCGATCGTCGGGCAGGGGTGTTATTGCCGCTTGCATTGACGCTCGGGTTCCTGCTCAGCGAATTCCGTTCACCTCCCGCCGCAGCGGCTCGATCTGCGCTCGCTTGAGAGATCGAGCCGGGATGAGCGTGCGTAGAAGCGGATGTGCTTGGTGTAGGGATGCCTCGTGATGAAGCGCTCACACTGGAGGAGCTTCTGTGTCTCCTGCTGGGAGTGGGATGTGTTGCGCCCATGATCTGGTGGGTAGGGTTCGGATCGGTAATGTCGACGGGTAGCAGGGACGCGTTGGCGGAGGTCGAGGATACTGAGCTGGCATTCGATGCGACCGAGGCAGACTGAGCACGAAGGGCAGTCAGTTCACGTGTCAAGCGGTTGACCTGTAGTATAGTCTTCGGTCAGCGAATGTCCTGAATCCTTGCTACGTGAAATGTGTCCAGCAAGGCTGAGACATATGTGCAACTACTCACCACTGCCTCTTGCTCTTTCTCGCACTCCAAATATAGTTCCGCGGCAGTGAGAGGTCTCGGATGTCTGAGGGGCAAGCCGGGCATTTGTTCGCTGCTGGTCAATATCGGAGATTGGTTGGTTGATGGTGGCCTGGGTGCCGACGCGCTCGCGCTCGCTGGATGGGTTGGCGGCGGCATGATTGCGCTCGTTCGTCGTGAAGGATTTCTGCTGGCGTTTTGTGAAGGTCGATGAGATACGCGTCCGCCGTCTGCGCGGGGCGAGGTCGGGAGTGAATTAATGTCCTTTTTGCTTTGCGAGTCAGAAGAAAGCGTTGAAGACTAGGCTTCAGGTTGCGGTCTGACGCACCGGTGCCATGTTGCCTCCGCTACTTTGCTCTTTCGCAGCTCAACGAATACTGTCGTCGTCGTCAAAGGCGAATGTTTGTCCAAATTCCGCTTTTGTTCGGGGGAGTGGTTGGAATGGTCGGAGACGCGGTACCCAGCCAGTCACGTCGCTCTTATGTCCTCATGTTGATCTTATGGCGGCCTTGTTGTCGTCAGCGACCCAACAAAACTTCGCGGCACGGCACGGCGTGCTTGTGTGCACTGTGCAGTCACAAAACACTGCCTCCGCACAGAAGAAGGAGAGGGGAGGGGAGGTAGGTGAACGTGAAACAGCGGTAGCGGCAGCGTCATCCCTGCATTCACTCCTTTCGCGCCAGGATGCTCTTGCTAAAGAAATCTAGCCCCACTTGATTGCATTTGCATGTGAGAGCCTTGACTCCAAAAGATTTGATTTTATTACAGAATATTGAAAATTCCGAGGCTGGTTATAAGAGCCTGTATGTAGCGTATGTTCTCACTGCTGTCGTCTACATATTGGACACCTTGCGAACTCATCAGCCCGCATCTACTCACTCCGCAAATGATGTGGTGCAGCCAACTTCAACGCCCCCTGCAGCATCTCACCAGCATCGAGCACCAGCTGATCGTCACCAAACTGCCCAACGATCTGCATTCCCACACTTTTGACATCGGTTTCGTCCATCATCTCCGTAAGGTCGGGCGATAATGGAGTGGGAACACTCATGGCCGGCAGACCAGCAAGCGAGGCTGGCACCGTGAACACATCATTCATATAGCTATCCACCGCGCTCTGCAGCTTCAGATCCTCGATCGTTGGCGGTAGAGTCGGAGCTGTAGGCGTGAGGATGATGTCCACTTCTCCTGCTGTCCCAATCGCATCCACAAGTGGGTTCGGAGAAGCGAACACAGCATTGAATTCGTCCTGCACTATCCTTCGCACCTTCTGCGCCTGAATAAAGTAGTTGTCCATCGCCTCGGAACTCAAAGTGTACGCTCCGAGCAGAATTCGACGTCTAACCTCTTCCCCGAACCCTGATCTTCTAGTCTCCGCATACAGCGGCAGCGGAGGTTCAGCGTTGGGTGACGCGTCTGAATTCGTAGTTCGATGCCCGTACCGTATTCCATCGTACTTGGCAAGGTTCGAGGATGCTTCAGCCGGTGCTAGAACGTAGTATGCGCTGAGAGCTGAGCGGGTTGATGGCAGAGAGATGGGATGAAAAGTATGCCCCAGCTCCTCGAGTACAGAAAGCACCGCCAACCAAGCCTGGCGCACGATGGGAGAAAGTCCGGCAATGTTGTACTCGAGCGGGATGCCGATTCGAAGCTTGTCCGTGTCACGCTTGATTGCACCGGAGCTGATTCTCTGTCGAAGCGATTCTGACAGCGAAGTTGGATCTTGCGCATCATACTTGTCCAGGACCTCGAATACCCTCCTCACCGTGTCCACCTCTTTGCCCAGAATGCCTACCGTGTCCAGAGAATTCGCATATTGTATCACGCCCCATCTCGAGATCCGCCCATAGCTGGGCTTGAAGCCAAGAATTCCCGTATAAGCAGCTGGCAATCTCACAGAGCCACCTGTGTCCGTTCCCAGAGCTGCCACACAGTCTCCTGCTGCCACGGCAACTGCACTGCCTCCGCTACTTCCGCCTGGCGAAAGTGGTATGCCTCCTCTGCGATACATGCTCTCCACAGCTCCATCATGCGAGTACTGCGAATGAGAACCCATGCCAAATTCGTCCATATTCTGATGGGTCTGCAGGACGGCCTTGCGATCCTTGAGAAGTTTCACCGCAGTCGAATCGAAGGGAGAGTTGTATAGCGAAAGCATGCGAGAGGCTGCAGTAGATCCAGCGCCGGCCTCATCTTTGGCGACTATGTTCGCCTTGATACCAATAGGCTTGCCATTGAGCAAAGCTGGCTCATTCTGTCTTGCTATCGTGGAAGCACTGAAGCTTGCGGCATTTTGGATGTTTCGTCTCCTGCAGGCACGAAAAGTGCTCTGACGAGGACGCTGATGGCATAGCATCACATTGTCAATGCATTAAGAAGTTCAGCAACAGCAAAGCTTCGAAGCTCTGATCGTTCGGTTCAAATCGGCCCGGCGGTGGCCTGTTCCTCGCTGCTACACGTGTCATGTCAAAGCTCCTTGGCAATCTCGAAACTCCACTCCTTTCTTTCTTAGACCTAATACGAGCTAAATATCAGCTCCAAGTGGACTGTTGTCACGTTCTGCCTCATCATATCGATGGCTTCTAAATGCCTCTGTGCGCGAGGAAAGCAGCGGCGTGCGCACCCGGCGTGGACGGAAACCTGATAGCGCAAGCAAAAAGCGTCTGGCATACACTGACATAGGCTACTTGGCTACTTCTACGATCTAGCGATACTTGACCTCTCATGTCCAATCATGCAAGGTCTAGCCAACAACCTGTAATATCCTTCGCCCTTGCTGGAATTAGGGATCGCTACTCGTTGTCGCAACAATAATACTACGTTGTCTTCTCCCTTGATGATGGAAGCACATCGGGGACTCCTCTTTTGGCTGCTTCTCACAACTGTCTGTTCTTCCGGCTCCCATATCTAGCCGGTCTGGACTTCCTCACCGAACTTGGGCTGTCCATGAGTGCGTCAATCCTAGCCTGGTCTGACAGCGAAGCACGGTCATCGTTTGAACTGCGGCATTTTCGATTCTCAGCGTCGGATTCGTTTCCGGAGCAGAGTGAGCTTGAGTCGAAGGCTTTCACGCTCTGAGCTCGACCGTTACGAAATGTTGAAGCAGTGTCGACTGCCTGTTGCGAGGCGTTGTAGCTGATGTACATCTCAAGAGCGTCATCAAGGCTATCCTCCACGTGACTGGTCGACATTGGTGCGACCACTTCACCCGATGTGATAGCAACGGGATCTGGCTCTTCAATAGATTTCGCTCGAAAGGTGTAGACTTTGGAGTCTTTTGACGATAAACTTCCGGCGGCTGAGTCACTTCGCGGTGTCGGGCATGCAAGGCTTTTTGGTTCTGCTGCATCAACGTTCTCCTGGAAAGGCACGAAAGGGCTTGAGGTTGGTCCGGCAGCGCAAGCTTCTCCAAAGGAGTCGCTCAGATCTACTCCAGACATCGCAAGTTGGAAGGCATAGTTGTCCTGTATTGCCTCCTGCAGATCCGCCTCAATGCTGTCTGAACTCAACTCCTTGGAGTAGTGAAACTCATGGGCAATCTTCTTGCGATATGAAGAGGCAAGGCTCGGCGATGGTGCTGCTCGACCGTCTTCAAATCCTTCTGCACCACGCTCGCTACCTTCTTCGTCACTGGTAATCAACTGGAGGACAGGTCGCAGCGAGGAGGGGATCTCGCCCGGATCCGGCCAACCCTCTCTTTTCGGGGGCGGCGACTCATGTGCCGCCATTCTTAGAGCATTGTAACGCATGTTGCGATCCGACCTCCTCGCATCAAAGTCTAAGCGGTCACCCATGCTTGGCGTTATATTGGGGGTACTGTCTTGAGGACTAAGCGGTGGGGTAGTCCTATCCTCATCGATGGAAATCGAGACCACGTCAGGATACTCGTCAGAGTGCCGTGGTGAATGCTGGACCCCTGGAGTGCCCGCATCGGTTTGCTGAGTTTGCACCCATTGCTGGACTGTCTTTTTCCGCTCCTCCGTCGACTTCTGCGGAGTTGGCCCAGTCACTTCCTTCCAAAACGCCTTGCCCATATCTGGCGAATGCGTTGTGCCCGGACGGCTGCGATGCGGGCTGGAGGAATGCGATGAAATAAATTGATAAATGGAGGTAGCCACGGGGCTGTCTCCGGCTTGCTCCTGAGGGCGTGGCTGCTCTGCTTTCGTTGTCTCGGCATTCCCGCCTGATTTCTCGCGATGCGATTTGCTGCTCCGCTCTGCGTAACCCTTTTCAATATCGTTTGTGTGTTCCTGCAGCTGCTGCAGGCTATCGGCCACGGATGGCTTTCTGCGCAGCTCACGCTCAGATTCATCGAATGGGGTGTTGATGCAGATCTTGGTTGAGGCCTCTGACACAGACCTGGAATTGGCTCTCTGCTGTGCCAAAAGTGCGAGCGGGAAGTTGTCCTCCGCGGATGCTCGGTCTGGCGACATATCGATGGTATGTGGTCGAGACCCATTGACAGACTGGACGCGAATTTTCGGGCGCAGTGGTAGTTCAATAGTCCGTTCTGGAGATGGTACCCTAATACCTTTCACCGCCTTAGCAGGCGCAAAAGGGTCTCCGCTCTGCCATGGTCCACTGATTGGATCACGATGCTTGTTGCTTGGGCCTTGAAGTTCTACGATCCTTTGATTCATCTGTCGAGTAAGCGGTGGCATGTCCGAATGGCAGGCACTGGCCGTAGTCTGCCTTGACATTACTTTGATCTTATCACCCCGTCCTAGGCTTGTGTCGACTGGGGATCCAATAGCACGAGCGCATCGGTCGGCCAGGGCATCGATTGATCCCATCTTCTTGAGCTTTTTGTCTTTTTGCTTTGAGGCGCTGTGCTTGGACTCCACACTTCGTTCAAATACTGCAGTCTCGTCATTGGCGCCGTCAAGTCCTCTGTGGACGCTATTTCCAGGCAGCACTGTAGCTGGCGTGGCAGGCTCATCGGGCATGCTCAATCCGAAATCATCGGTGGGAAGGTCGAGTAATTCAGAGGGAGTCAGAGATGCATCGCGAGAGGACCTCGCTGACAAGAGCGGCCGATCTTCCGGGCCTTCGCCAGGCAGCTTGGTGTAATAAGTAGGGACTCTTTGGGTGTGCTTCCAGGGAGGATCGGTCAGTGCCATCAATTCACTGTGACGCTCAAGCCCCGGAGAGTGGATGAAGGTCGTGCTCATCGAGGCGGACGATGCCAAGTCTAAACGGTTCAAATTTGGTGCCGGGATCTTCACGGGCGAGGGGGGTAGTGAAGTTCTGGTGGCTTCTTTCGTCGTTGGCGACAAGGTGTCGTCCCACGCTGCCTTGGCTGGCGACTCGCACTTGGTCGACTGATTGCCTCGCCGACGGAGTGTACGAAGACTGCCGGCCAAGCTTCGAGCGACACTGGACTTCCTACGGTGCGCTTTGATGGTGGCGACTGGCGTCTTGGTTGTTTCAACGCCGTCCAGTGGATCATGATCAAAAGCCTCGGGTCCGGTGGGGGTGGGAGCAGAAGTGATGATTTTCGCCAGTGCTCCTTGCTTCTTGCGATCTGTCTTGTCCGTCTTTGCAGCACCTTGAAACAACTGAGCGCTCAAGCTCTCCGCTGCAGTCTTGGGCGTGAAAGGCGTTTCCCTCTCCGCGCCGGTTTGTCGCAGGGGCGTCGCCGTGGGCAAAGCGCGGGCCGAAGACGACTCTCGTGATGATGCGGCTCCATCACCCGCGTCTCGCAGTCGATCGCCGTCGCTTGTGATGTTGTCAGTACTGATGGATGAGTGGGGCATCCGAGGGGGGCAGCCGACTCACTCGTCAGCGTCGCTCAGATAGCTCTTGCCGCCCGCCACGTCCGCCCGCCATTGATCAACAGTCGTTCGCGCGAGGATTGCGCTACGAGCCACGCTGCTTTTGACACTGCTGAACCATGACTTCTTTTTCGCAAGTGACCGCTGGGGGCGGCCCTCGTGCAGTCTGGCCCAGTCATCCTCGGGAGCATGGCCGATGTCTTGGTCATAGTCGGGTAGCGTGGAGGCCGGCTCCTCCTCGACGGTGGAGGGGGTGACGTCTCGCCTCTTACGAAGCATCGCAAAGTCTGTATGGTGCGCCAAGCGCGCGATGCGGTGTCTGGAGTAAGGTATGGGTCTGATATGCGACGGGTGGAAGGCTTGGTGTTGTTGCGTTGTTGCGTTGTTGCGTCTTCTAGGGTGGCAATGCAATCAGCAGGTGACGGGACGGGGCAAGTAGGCACGGCGTCACGGCATCACGGCACAATGCCAGATGCATGCTGCTTCCCCGTACATGTAGTTGTGCAGAGCAGGCGCATCCAAGTCTGAGGGACCTGCGCGCAGAGGCAGCCATGACCGAGCGACAAGCCCACCGACACCGACAAGCACCCACGGTGAGGCTGAGGGATAGGCAACGGCAACGGCAACGGCAACGGCATAACGTGGATGGAGCGGCGGACATGGCCCGCAAGCACGCCATCATCGACGCTGAGACGGGAGGTCATCGAGAATGACGGACGTTGGGGCGGCAAAAAGAACTTCATCTCCGAATCCACCACCGGGTCTCGAACCCACGACCATCGACGCGCAACCCTCCCACAAAACGACAAAAGAGACGCCGCACTCCAAGCTCTCATAACCATCAAAGCCACCCAGTCCTCTAGAACCGAAGTTCATCTAAGAAGGACCAAATCCAAACGAACCCCACTCCGAAATGTGGTCAAGCAACTGCACTCAGGGGGACGCTTCCAATTTAGAGGAGTCTGACTTGATTGGATGCTGGCAATTCCATCAGCTATATGAGTGTTGCAGCTTTGATGCGGCACCTCCCGAAGGCAAGAGCGCGGACCCGCAGAAGTGATGCCGGCAGCCACGAACGTGCAGTTGGGCCTGAGGCAGACGCCCAGCGAGTGCATCGATTTATACGCCCGGTCTGTCATTTGGGTGCATCAGCCCTCCGCTCTGGTGGGACAGGGCATTCAGATCGGTCTCGACATGCTGCATCTCACCACTGATCGCCTCCAACTGCTGGATCTGCACGGCTTGGCCGTTCTGTAGCGCCTGCAGTGAAGCTTTTACTCCCTCAATCACGTCCATCTGACCTTTGGCTCTTGCCGTTTCGTCCGCGAGCCCTTGGCGCAAAGCAGAAAGCACTGCCAGCATCTTACACGCTGTCACGGCAACTGCTTACCATTGGACTCGCTTCGAAGGCAATACGCATCCCCCAATGAGCTTTGACCTGCGGAGATCGGCCCGTCTCAAGAGAGCAACAAAGTGGAACAGCAGCGCCCAATGAGGCTCATACATTCGCCAGGCAGGCAACTTGGTGTCAGAAGCAGCGATGCACGTACACGCGAACCATCAGCTAATCTCACCTTCTCTAAAGGTCGGGAGAATGGCAGTGAGCAGACCAGGACGTATTGAAGATATGGAGGTCGTTCAATCACAAGAACTACACGTGGTAAATTGAATCACAGCTCCCATGAGGCAATGGCTGGGTGATGTTTTGTTCAAAGCACAATTCGCCGCGGTCGCTGGCAAGCGATACGACAACATCATATCTGCATTTGTCCAGCTGAGCGGTGAAGAGAGGGCTGGCAATGCCAAGTGCAAGAACTGCGCGAAGGTTCCTATTTATCCTCAATGCATATCCCGTCCCGATATCCAAAAGGGCTCGTGTGGATGTTGCATCTACAACAAGAATGCCAGTCGATGCAGTTTGCGAGGTGAGTGATGTCCGGTGAAATAGAAACAAGGCGGGACTGATTCATATCTAGGCGATGACAACGATGCGCCATTACCAGGGCACGTTGAAAGTACAACGGCGCATGCTGCAAGAGATCCGTCGTATGAGCTCTTCAGTCCTAATGAAAGATCTGATGGCGGTTCCCAGAAGATATCTGGTTCTGTGAATGCGCCAGAGAGACACACAGCACGGAGTAGTGTCACTACCCTCAAGTCTCGCGTGTCGACCACAGGCTCCTCTCTAGAGGAAATTCCCGCAACCGGTCCTTTGAAACGTTCAAAAGCAGTCGAAAACAATTCTAGTCTGACGACAAGGACCGCGGCCAGTGTCACTGATGGCGTTGCACAGCAGGCCTCTGGAAGCACTTCCCACCATACCAAAGCCGCCGAGACCCTGCTTGCCCGTACCATAGGCGTATCATCCGACTCAATGCGTGTGCCAAGCAACGCAACCGCGAATCAAGACACCATAGTTGTTGCGCCTAGGCGATCTGCCTCATTCGAGCCTGGATCTAACACCGCTCAAGAGAATCTCGAGTCCCGGGCCACCACAACCTCTGAGGATCTATACACCAGCACCCCAGCACGCGTAAAAGATGTCTCCAAGGCAGAAATTCTTGTGAACAACCAGCGCTCTCCATCACCGGAAATCGAGATCATCTATCCCCAACCCGCTGCATCCAGCACAACTCTCGTCCCAAAACCAAACCACAACACTGCCTCAACATCTGGCACAGCACAGTCCCAACCCTCAAATTCTCACGTCATCCCCATCCTCAGCAAAGCAGACCAACGTCGCATCCTCTGTCGAGCTTTCTGCACGTTCAAGAAGGGCGAGACAAAGATCAGAAACATGAACTTCCGCGGCTGCGAAACTTTCGACCGCTTCGTCAGTCAACTAACAGAGACCAGAAATCGCGCACTCGACTTGAAACATTTCTGCTATAGCTTGCCACCACACGAGGAGGATTATGTCATTGATGCCGAGGACCTGGAAGCTTATCAGGATCTTCTTATGCAGGCGAAGGAGCTGCTGAGAGATATGCCAGACAATGAGATATTGCGGATACGTGTTAACGCAAGGCTTTGAGGGTTTTGATATTGGGTTTGGGGATGGAGAGTTGTTGCAGGAAAAGGAAGCGAATGAGGTTTCTTTCGAGTGTCTCGCCATGCGTGGCTATGGACACCTGTTTCAATGTACGTATGGGTTTAGCGAGCCAAGAAATATCAAGCAAGTCAAGTTCATACTCCATCAGTTTGAACATCCACGACATGTGAGTTTTCACAGAATATCGAGACGATGATCTGAGAGGCCTGGTGCTCGATTGTGTGAGGAGACAAGTTCAACATTCTGGATGGTGTGGAGCTAGCTGTGGTTTACGAACGTGCCTCTCAACTCGTGAGAAATAACATTGGAATTGAATATCGAAACAGCTTCAAGAATCAAGAATCAAGCTTGGGAAGGGTATTCTAGGGTCGAGATGAACTGTGCAACCAACCATATGCCATGAATCCTTTCTCTGCGTTGCGTGCTTCTGTACGATTCTGCATTTGAGCACGTCAAAAAAAATTCTTGATAGCCTTGAACGCGGCGAACGTGGCTGACTCCGACCTGTGTGTACTGTGCAGAACAACGGTATAGGACGTGAAGTCGGAGATCAGCACGTGCCACCGAGATAGTTCTAAGCTTTTGGACCCTGCCACAGCCACCTCTTGAAGAAGGAAGTCGCGAGTCGAAGCTGCTTTCTGAACCTCATCTTCGTCGAACATCATCACACTACACCACCCCTCACAAACGAAGGCACGCTCATATCCATTTTGGGGCCTCTGTTCATTGCTGAAGCGCGCACACCATGGCGAACAACAAGACCCCCGCGCCGTCCTTGGACTTCATGCTTCAGGAGAGTCAGTTTGACCCGACAGAGCGTCAATCCACCAGTAATTGACCCCATTGTTTAGGCCGAAAGAAGCGAGAAGCGCAGGAACTCGCGCAGCAGATATTTGGCAAGAAGAACCGCTCCCACACACCACAAGGGCCGCGCTCAAAACCGGGACCGGGCGCCAGCCTTGCGAGTCGAGTGGGTGTAGCGAAGGTATGGCACTTACGGTATGATATACCGCCAGCAGATCTGACCATCCCGAAAGCGCACTGCATCCCTACCTCGATCAAATACTGCACCGCCGCCGCGCAATCCACGTCCAGCTCCCGCGACAACGCGCCCGCCCCTAAACGATAACTACCGCACCAGATCCGCCTACAACCCACCCTCATCGGATCCAGTGAGCGATGCTAAGAGCAATGGTCGTTCGAGGTATGATGCGCCGCCTCCTGCAGCCAATGGCTCTGGTAATATCAGCTTCAGAGGTGCTGCTGCTAGCAGTGGGCCGCATGTGGTGATTGCGCAAAACTTCGCGCCAGGTACTTCGGCCGAGGACATTGCCAGCGTCATGTCAGATGTTGGTGGCCAAGTCACAGAATGCTTGCTGCTTTCAGAAGCACCCACTGTCATCGCCGAGATGACTTTTGCCGACAAAGCAGGAGCCGAAAGCGTCATCAACACATTCAACGGCAAGAAAGCAGATGGCCGAACTCTGAACGTATATCTGAAGTCAGGCGGCGGGGCGAAGCTCCCTGCGCCCGTGGAGGACGTTGTGCCCGCGGCGGAGGAAGTGATGGAGATTGACGAAAACGCCCAGGCTCGCGAGGCCGAGGACAGGTTACGGGAGGAGCGACGTGGTAGGAACGATCGTGGCGGATTCCCGACCGGCCCTCGAGTCGAGCGACCATATGAGGATGACTACTACGGACGCGGACCACGGCGCGCAGAGCCGGCATACCAAGACGGTCGGTATGGCTTCCAGGGCGGATACGGCAACGGCGGCGGGTATGGCAATGGAGGAAGATACCGTCACGACGGAGGACGTATGTACTCGGATCGTATCGGTCGCGGCTCTGGACAAACCTACAGGCCGTAGAGAATAACCAGGTGGGCTCAGGTCACTGATTATAGGCAAGTGGACACCTCCAGCAAGTCCACGCTAGGACAGATGCTACTACACGTTGAGCGTTCAGTGAGAGTAGACGCGAAGGCTTCCTGATGGCGATGGCGTTGCACGGTTGCGTCAAAATGGATGTTGTATGAATAAAATCCCTAAAGTTCGGGTGAAAGCCGATGGAAATAAACATTCCAATGCCTCTAGCCGACCTCGACTGAAGGCTACTGCCACATCTGCGAAGCGCAGTCTATAAGACATCTCAGCACTACGCAGTCGTCTGGACAATTCAGCTGGCCCGCGGTCCAAAGATCTTACTTGGTGTCTTGGACTTGAACAGATCGACATCCTCAGCCCACACAAATTGGGTTGAGGGGATCTATGCCGATTTGCTATGTTGACCCAGAGCGCATACTTACGAAATTCATCTGCCAGCATATCGATTCCTTGAGGGAAGTCTGCTCAGCATGTGCAATCCTCAGCTCACGGCTTCTGCTCGGTGACGATTTCCGAATCGGGAGCGTGTAAGCGACTACACAAGCTACATCTCTTGGCTGCCAACCCGCGTCGACCTTGACCAAAAATTTGACAGAATGCTGCTTTCCTGCTCGCCATTCGACAGATTCAGGCCAGGTGAATACTGTACTTCACATGCAGTGATGTATATGTCGTGGCTACGCAGCACAACAGTCCGATACGATTGCAATTTGCGCCGTTTCTAACACCCACGTGAAGCCCATGCTTCTCCACCACGCCAAGATGATACCCGGCCTTGGTCTGACTTGGCTGCTTGAAGAAAGACCAAGACCATTGGATACGATACTGGTAAAGTGCCACTACAGGACAATCAACCGAAGAATGCAGTGCCACACCTTGGAGTGCCGGCTGACTGACGACTTGGCGCGTAGGATACATAGTACGTGTGGAAGAGTGATAAGAGCTCACTACTTCGCATCGCGATCCTGGCTCGCTCTTTACAGCTCACAATTTCTTCAGCTATATCATAACATGACAAAGAATTCTCTCCTACTGACCGCTCTCGCAGCAACTCCAGCATGGAGTCGAACAGTTCACAGCGTGATCGTGTTCAATCGACATGGCGATAGTAAACACATCCTTCAACAATACAAACATCTTTGACGTCACTCACACGCATGACAGGAACATCGAAGTTCTTCCCCAATTACCAAATGACCTCGCTCGGGGCACAACAATGCTACAACTCCGGCTCCTACTACCGGTCCCTCTACCTAAACTCCTCTTCTCTTTCCCACATCTCCGGTATAAGCGAAGACACCGCAGACTTCAGTCAACTCTGGGCCTCAGCACCAGATCAGCCAGTTCTCTTCCAAACTGCCTTGAACTTCATGCAAGGCCTCTACCCACCTCTCGGTTCGAACCAAGCACAAGTCCTGGCCAACGGAACCACGATCGAAGCACCACTCGATGGATACCAATACATCCACATCCACGGCGAAGACGACAAGTCTCCAGATACGATTTGGCTAAAAGGCGACGACGAATGTCCCGCTTACGAGAAAGCTTCGAAATCCTATCGCCAATCATCCGACTACCTGTCTCTCCTGGACTCAACAAGAAATTTCTACTCCCAATTCTCCCCTCTCCTCTCCTCCATCCTCAGCGGCGCCCAGAACCTCACCTACAAAAACGCTTACAACATCTTCGATCTCCTCAACACAGCCAAAACCCAAAACTCTTCCATCTCCAACCAAATCTCTGAACAAAATCTCAACGAAGCACGATTCCTCGCCAATACCTGGGAATTCAACCACAACTACAATCCTTCGCAACCAGACCGTATGATCGGTGGGGAAGCGCTGGCCGGCGGAATTCTACGACAAATGGAATCTGTCGTTGCCGATCACGCGAGGACGAAATTCTCGCTTATGACGGGGAGTTATGATACTTTTCTCGCGTTTTTTGGACTTGTGGGATTACCCGACATCAATTCTGATTTCGAGGGTTTGCCGAATTATGCGGCTTCCGTGGCTTTTGAGATTTTCTCGGAGGCTGATGAGGCGGGATTTTTGGAGGAGGATTTGAGGGTTCGGTTTTTGTTTAGGAATGGGACGGAGGGGGGTGAGGAGTTGAGGGCTTGGCCGTTGTTTGGGACTGGGCGGGAGAGTTTGGGGTATGGGGAGTTCGTTGAGAGGATGGGGGAGATGGCTATTATGAGTGTTGGGGAGTGGTGTGGAAGGTGTCAGGCTGAGGCGGAGTTTTGTTTGGCTGAGGGGGAGGGGAAGGGTGCGGTGGCTGTGCAGGATGAAGATGGTGATGAGCGTGATGGTGACGGGCTGAGTCTTGCTGGTGCTGGAGGTATCGGTGCTGGTGTGACACTGGCAGTTGTCGCGATTGTTGGGTTGTTGGCGTGGATGGTCTTGAGAAGGAAGAGGGTGGCGCCGGTCATGGCGGAGCGGAAGATGAGTGATTCTGAGAGCGACGGTGGCAAGGAGAGCGTGTGAATAAGTGAGGACGTGGTAGTCATCCACCTTCAAAATTTCGCTCGCACTCCGCTCCGCACCGCTTTCCCAAAGTCATGCATTCATTCCTTCGCGGTGCCACTGCACCTGACGCCAACAAGAGTGATGCCTACCAAAGCTGACAGAGGAAGCCTGCGCATAACTACATCGATGAAGAATCCAAATTCTCAAATGTGCAAAATGGCTGGCAATCACTTCGCCGCCGACCCAGAGGACTTGTCCCAATTCAGAGGCTATAAATGCGACAGCGACGAGAAAATCATCGACATCGCTGCATGCTGATTTCACCGGCAAAGAAAAGAAAAAGGCCCAGGGCTCAAACCATTCGAGAGTCTTCATACACGAAGTCTTTGCTTTGTTCGTAAATGGAGAGCGGCGTATCGGTAGAAACCAATCCGATTATTCACGTTGGATTGTGGTGGCACCGATGTCGAATCGATCAAGTCGGAGCATAAGGACCAGCACGTGAAGAACTATGCAGAACTTTTCGTGCGTGAATAAAGCTCTTTCCGCGCTTCAAGAGCACACAGCTTTCTGGAATCAATTACGCTAAATCTGCACTTTTCCTGACAGTGATCAACGTCTATCGGTTCGATTACACACCACCAGACGAGGTCAAGGAAGCTTTCGGCAGACTTCTTAGCAGCATGGCGTCAAGCAGCAGACAGCCAACGCGAGCCAGCGTCCTTCCATCTTTGGAATGGGGTTCTTCTCTACCTGTCGCTAATCTAAGCACCGATGTATATTTAGCCGTATAATCTGTTTCTTTTTCCTCGATGCCTTAGACCTTAGTATATATAAATTTCTTATAGGTAGCTACGCGTCCTATAATATACTAGCGAAGCTACCGGTCTACTATAAGCTCTAATTATAATTATATTCTAAATTTTTACTATCGCTATATCGACTTTAAAGTATAATAATAGTAGTTGCTATTGTTTTCCTAAGACTTCTATAGTATTTAAGCTAGTAAAAATATATATACTAGTAACTCGAAACGGATTTCTAAATAGTTCTAAGTCTAGCCTAGTATTATTTAACTTGAAATTTTAGTACTAAATAGTAATTATATCTGCTACTATTAGTAGTATAGAAGTGGTAGTATAGTAATAGTAGTCTGTATTGCTATTTTCAAAATTCTATAGTAGTAGTAATTGCTAATACTAAAGGTTAGGACAGTGCCTCGGACCCTCGACTCCCGACTTGGAGCCTCTCCTTCCCTATCACTGGCTTAGAATACTAGCTAAACGGAATGTGGATTCATGATGTAGCCAGCCAGTGCCCAGTGGAGAACGGTATGCGATTTGCGATGGTGTAACACGAAGGCAGTGACAAGTGAAGGAGAAGTATTAATGTTTCGCTCTTGTTCTTGTTCTTTCCTCACATTCGACTTGACATGCAGCGCGCGCGTTGCCTAACCATTGAAGCACCACCACTGCGAAACACAGCACCAACCAAACCAACACCTACAATCACAGCCTACAGCAGCCATGCGCGCCATCACATTGACCACCGCCGCTCTCTCGGCCGCCTTGACCACCGCCGTACCAATAGCACAGCAGAACCTCACCAACTTCCTGCTCGTAACTACCACATCCTGCGAGCCAGCATCAAACTCCTCCCTCCTGCCGAATGTCAACGCGACATCCCTCTTCGACCCAGACAACACCGATGACGAGCTCTACCAGCTCCGTCTCATCCTCCCAGGCTACAACAGCTTGCCAAAATTCAATCTCAGCGACTCAACACTGCACACCTACGCGTATGGTCCAGTGGGCTTCAAGGAGTACGAGTACAACAGCACCAAGGTAGAGGTGGGGCAGACTCTGAACTTCGATCCGACGCCGGAGGGGAGCGGAAACGTGGCATTGAAGGATGATTACCTGCTTACTGTCAACGGGGACGCTGAGGGCTGGACGGTCTGCGAGGGAGACCTCAATCAGGCTGTGGTAGGTCACGCCTGTTCTCTTTCCCGTTCACATACATGATTCTGACTGTCCACAGATCTTCTGGAAGGGCAATGGAACCAAGTGCGAGAAGCGTTACATCCAAGCTGTGACGACTGCGCCCTACTAAAATCATATACCACGATGAAGACGACGTCGCTTAAGCGTACGATATGAGAGGTTGCTCCGGCATGATAAAGGACACTAATGATTACGAAAGCATTTGCATGGCATGGGACATAGCGTGAGCATGAGAAGAGGGGGGACGATGCCAAGTACGTCTCATAGATTAATAAATGAAAAGCAACAACTATCGGTTGCACAGCCACCACGCACTCGGGAAGCTGCTTGAAGGCGATAGTGATTCTCTCGGCATATTGCCACAAAAGACACATGACCAATCACATGCCACGAATTCAAAGCCCTCGCATGACCATCAATGTCACGGTCACGATATTAGGCGACCTCAACATTCACAACCTCAACTTCAATCATTTCACCATGGACACCGCAACACAGCCCACACATTCAAGAACGGGGATGAAGGCTATCACTTTCTTCTCGCTTCCACGAGAGATCCGAAGGATGATCTACGAAGAGATCTTGATGCTTTATTCCGAGCTCCGAAGGTCTTTCAAAGGACGCCATGTCGAAGATGTCTTACGAACTGCAAACGGGCGACTTGCGAGAGAGTGCTCGGAACACTTTGAGACAACGCTACCGGAGTTGATATGACCTTCCCCCTCCGACCTGGGCTACGGGATAATGGGAAGCCGACAGGATAAAAGCTTTTGGGGGAGTCCTTCCACGTACCCTTACTACCAGTGACCTTCAAACGCACTTTCTGAGATGGTTGCGTTTCTCTACGGGAAAGGAATCGTTTTCCGGAATTTGCACATTTCATGAAAATGGGACTGGGATGGTTCGAAATACACCGGGATTTCGGATGTCATTTGGTTGTTGCCTAGAAACAGCTTGAGCCGATGCTTGTCCTGTTATAAGCATCTGCAGCAACCTTGGAAAAAGCTTGACACAGACTTTTCCTACGTGCGGAGAATCCTTGGAGACCTTCTCAAATCCCCGCGCATACCAGGCAGGGAGAGAAAAGCCACTATACCGGCCCTGGCTAGGGAACTCAACATCCTCGACATGTAATCCACAATATGCGTGGACTATCAATTACTAGAATCATGTGCTCGCAAGATCGCCTGTTGTTCTCACACGGAAGGGTAGCAATGATTGCCAACAACGCTTGCTCGTTAAGCCATGAACCCACTCTTCCCTGCATCACGCTACCTGTATGTATCCCATCACACTCCACGACAAGGGCTGAGGCGCCACATCATGGTCTCTCGAACGGAGGATGTGAACATCCGGATGACACGGGCGCTTAATATGAGCGGAGACGTTTGGAACTACATCACGCTGTACTCTACGATAAATTCTCTGGGCAAGAAGAATACGGCCGTACGAAAGGCCCCAGGTCCCGAAGAAGAATCGATCAGTATACCTGGAAGTATCCTCTGGCTAGTGGCGACAAGGTCCTTGGAGGAGAAGGTTAATTACGTAGCTTCGAAGGGAAAGAGGGTTTTCATGGATCGCGCGAGAAATTCGGAGCAACATCGCATGTACGAATCCCTGGCTGAGACCTTTCCAGACTATACGATCGGATACGAGCAAAGGCTTTATGAGTTTGCGGCCAAGACGAATTGAGCTGTATACTGGTACTAGGGGAAGTAGGCATGTGAAGTCAGTCGTGCACAAGCGATAGGTGAACGAGGAAGCGCACTTGTCGCGCAACCCCAAAAATCCAATACACTGAGAAGCAGAAAAGGGCAAGGATGAAACAAGCGCCAAGAACAATTCGAATTTGGAAAACGTGCCATCTGGGACTGCAGCACACGTACGATCTCGCCCATCGGGACGAACACCTCGCGCACGCAAGAGATTGACTTGCCAGCAGATTTACGAGCATTGAGTCCAGACCTACACCTGGCGTTTTACTCACGCTAGGTGAGGACAAAGTCACTATCCGGAGGGCCATTCACAACGACTGCTAGCCGTCAAATGGCGACGTTTAGTAATAGGCGGAAGAGGAAGATAGTTTTCCTCCTTTATGAATTCAACTTCACGTGTGCTTCATACTCTTACTTAATACTACTATTCTCTATCTAAACCAGATTATAAAACGCTCTAATTGAAGAGCTAGCTAACATATTTAAAAGACCTCTATATTTACTTTCCTATTTGTATCCCTTATATAATCCTTAATTAATTCTAGCTCTACGTACGAATACTTCTAAATATAGCAATAAGCATATATACCGCTAACACAAACGTGCTAGCGCTACTTTTTCAAACCTTCTTTATATAAAACCTTTCTAGAAAAATCTTAGAATCGAACGGGAAAGGCTACCTCGGCAAATTTATATTACTATACTAGTAAGAAGAGGATGAAAAGGCATACGTATACGACTCCGTACCTAGGCAAGATAAGTCAGAGCGTGGGATGTGTGTTTACTACCTGCCTACCTGCCTAGCGAATAAGTCTCAAGCCTTGACAGAACATGAACCTAAAGATCACATGTGCGCGCTTGACAGAAGCTTACTGGTGGGCAGAGCTATATAACTTCACCTCAAGGGTCATAACTCTTTCCTACATGCGCACGGAATCTACCACTCATCATGCTTTCAATCATGCCCGAGCATCTCCGGTTTGCATAGAACCGCACCTACGGGACCAGGTTGAGGTCGAGATCGAGTAAAGTCAAAGTGTTGTTCACATTTCGATGATGGTATGCGTCTAGAGCATCCTAAAGCCTGGTTGCGCTTTCCCAATAACATGCCACCCACAAATCTCAGAAACTTTTTCGGTCCTTCCTATGCTCCAACGCTTATGCATGCAAACGCCATCCAGATCTTTATCTAATATTGTTCATAAGCTTTTCGTCAACTTGAAGTTTAGCGAACTCCTTCGCCTGCTCACGCAGATGCTTCATGCTCAACTCCTAGTCGGCACGTTCGCTCGCTGTCGCAATCAAGGATTTGACGGCACTGATCATGTGGTCCACATCGAATGCTTCGGCAGCCTCGGCGTACACGCGAACGACATCTTCTGTGCCGGAAGGTCGTACGAAGCAGCGACCGTCTTGGTACTTGGCGACTTCGCTGTCGATCTTCTCTTGAAGACCTGGTGGGCTTGCGAGCTTCTGCTCGGCAGTACCTGGGACGACCTTGAAGTCCTCCCGCTTCTTTACGCTGGCCTTGGCGAGCTTGTTTGGCATGTCGGTATACGTTGATAACCACTCCTTGACAGTCCACTGCTTGTGAGCGAGAATGGCTTCAACGAGGAGGAAGTCGGAGATGGCATCGCCAACGGTCTGGTTGATGAGATCGGTGGCGCCGCGAAGAACTTCCAGGTTTTCGAGTTGCGCGGGCGATTCTGGTTCTTGCTTCCAGATCGTTCTCAGCGCATTGTTGCTGAACAGAACGGTACCGTGACCGTTCGCTTCGAAGTAGACCCCAATATCGTATCGCGCTGCGACGTGGTGGAGATGCTTGACACCAGTTGGGGTAAGCTCCGACTTCAGCTTCAGTCGGTCCTTGATGTACTTCATGCTGGCACCATTTGCGTAGGCAGTCTGCACAACACCGACCTTGATCTTGTCCGAAAGCCCGCATTTACCGACCAGGCCGCCGAGGAATTCTGCAGCTAGCGTCGCGATGCGATCACCATCAAGCAGACGGAACATGCTGCCTTCCTCGTTGAAGTAGTATACAATGCGGTCGGCGTCACCATCGAAAGAACACCAGCGATCGTATGGTTTGCCGTTAAAGCCAGCTGGGACCTTCTGACCGGTCTTCACAAAGTCAGCACCGCAGTCCTTGTTCAGAACCTCAGCTTGTTCAATGCGGTCGTTCTTGACAGTGATCTTGAGCCCAGTCTCTTCCTCGGATGGAAGATACTCAAGTAGCTTCTTCAGCTTGGGAGCGCCAACGCCATTAGCGCAATCGACAGTGACTGGGCTGGAGGCTTTGGTGTTCTTCATAACCTGCTGGAAGGCAGCAGCGAGCTTCTTGTAGTATCCCTCCTCCGAGACCTCTCCATACGGGTTCTTGTCCTTCTGAGTGTTTGTCGCACGAACCAGGTAGTGCAGTTGTGGTGTGGTGAGAATGCCATAGTCCGTAGCAGACACACCTGTTGCCTTCATGCCCGCCTCAAGCGCCTTCACCAGTCGTGCACCTGAAGGTCTCGTGTCTCTCGCGTAGATGACATTAGCCGGCTTGCTCACATCGATCTTGAATTCCTTCACGACTTTTGCATATGCTTCCAGAGTCTCTTCTGGGTTCTGTCCATTGACGATGTTGGTGGCCCACTTCTCCCAATCTTGCTCTAACATGTCTCCCATCGGATCGACAAGCTTCACACCATTATCGACAGCGGGATTGTGGGAGGCAGTGATCATGACGCCGATTGTCTGGCCGTTCAGCTTCCTCGAGCGCAGACCAGCGAGTAGACCCATTCCGTACATGACATGGTCCAGCCAATCTCCCTTAGTACGGAAGCCAGCCGTGCCATAGGTAAACTTGTCGACGTCAGCGGGACGAGGATAGTCCTTCACGGTCTCGAGAATGGCTTGCCCAAGGCTGGACTTGGTGTCGAAATCGCCGGAAGGCATGGTCATGGGTATGCAGGGTGGTATTCGGAGTGAGTAGGTGTAGTCAGGCGAGGCTGACGTTCGTATCGGCGGGAGTCGTCACCTCTGCCTCCAGCAAATGGTCTCTCAACGAGAAGTGGTCTGTAACTCGAGTGTCTGGGCGCTGTTGATGTATGGCAGAGGATTGAGAAGCAGCGATGATGGCTCCGTGAAGGTGACGGTAGTTGTATACAGCAGTGTGAAAGACAAAGAGAGTGTATGGAGAAATTAGACGCGGGTGTTTTGAGCTCGCTATACAAGTTTCAGAAGGCGCTCTTGCACTTTGCCAGCTGCACCCCACGTAGAATAATGCGGCTGCACCTGCAGCGGGTGAGCCCGCGAGGCTCGATTTCCGCCCGATGCTTAGAACTATCGGCCATCCTTGCTTCGGGGAAAGAACTGTCGGAGGTGCCTCAACAACCACATCACACCGATTTCAATCAACAGCACGGCAACGATGAAAGCTCCATCAGTGGCTTTGCTACGCGCGTTTTCGCCGGTAGTACGGACTGAGACCTTGCCATGGACGGCCAGAGGGTGTCTCGCGCAGCAGCAAAGCGCACACTTCTCCAGCACGGAAAGGAGGGAGAAGAGCAAAGGCAATGTAAAGAGAGATCCTAGAATCAGTATGGCCCATCGCGTAGAACATACAATGTAAAGTGGCTGATAGAATTCGTGCAGCACAAATACGATACCATCTGCAACACCCTTTGACACCACGACCTTTGCGCTTCGGACGAAACAGATATCTTCGACATTGGACAATCCATCGCGCGTGGATGCGGTATCAGGACAAACTGCGGAACGAACGCGAATTGGAGTTGGAACGGCAATATAATGCCATGTCTGCGGCGTGTGAGGAATTGAGACTGATAGACCACGAGGGCATGACGGCGGAAGACAGAGTACGGCTTGGGCAAAGCCAGAAGGCGAACGATGCGAAGGAAACCGGAAGGCTCTACAGAATCGCAATGAAGAAGGATGGGATCTGGAATGGAGTGCCGATCGAGTATGCGCGAATACAGACAGACACGCCTCCGAGAGATGGATGGAATCATGCTTGGACGAGATAGAGGCCATACTTCGTGTACGAGACATGAGCTCATGCACCCAGATGCAAGGCACGCAGAAGACTCGAGGCTATATGTACAAGTCAAATGATGTTTCAGAGCTGGAGTGGCCCATGAGGTAGAGATCGAGAGGACCCACGACTAAGCTTGTCTGCGCTCTTTGCGCGCCCCAGGACAAGGCATCTGAAGCTACGCACTCGGAAATACTGTCATGGACTTATCGCCAAGTTGGCAACGCTCGTTTTCTTCATGCCGCATCGACTATCGCGTACGTGGGGACCTCCATACCGTCTAGATCTGGTGACTGCATTATACGTGTCGTCCCGGCAGCCGGCCTCAGCACCCAGTCTCGAGCCTTATCTCACTGAAGGCCACAATTTTTTACAAGATCAACGACGCCTTCGCCCCTGCAGGAGTAGCGATCGGATGCGCGGTCAGTCACAGGATGGATCGAAGCCTCGCATTGACACTTGAAAGATGCATGCAGACCGCTCCGATGGTGGTACGTATGATCGTGCTAATCGCTTGCGATCTCGATATCGGCGATGTGACGCTCGAATTTGATGGGGTCTCGGGGGGAATCGTTTTTGCATCTATCATCATTGTGAGCTACGTGGGTCAAGAAAGCAAATCAAACCGGTGAACACCCAAAACCTGCGGGAGAGCCTCCTTATCGTCTGGACGCTGACGTTGTTTATTGTTCAGGCTCGCTGGCGCACTGTTGCTGAAAGTGTTTGTTATCGTCAGCCTGGCGTCTTTCTACGTCAGTCCGTAATGTCTCTCCATTCCGGCTCTACATCCTGCAATTACTTCTCAACAAGGTCTCGCAACTGTGTTCACGTACCCTACTCGCAGCTTTTGTTCATTATTCGTAAGCAGTCAAGGTAGCGCACAGCTCTTAAATACGACGCGGTGGATGCCAAGGAAACAGCTGACTTTTGGATGCGCTCGGGCTATATATTTCCGAGCCTACCTACTCCACTGTACTTGCTGTTGGCTGAATCATCTCTGCTATTGTCTGCTTTGGTGAGTTACAAGAAATTTGGCAAATACAACCGATTGGCCTGCATAGGACTCCTCTATATGCACATTGGCGGTGCCGTGTGGCGCTGCGGGAGGATCAATGGCTGGTCTCCCCAACACCACCGCGACGCTGTACCTGCGCGTGCACATTCATGTACAGGTCGATGGCAGCCTATTCCGTGGTCCTCACACCTGCGTTCATTAGTGTCTCTACACCTACATCCAGAAGCACAAGGAACGCCTTCTAGCCAGTAGACTGGAATCGGACACAATAGCAGATTGGGAGGCTTCCAGTGCAGGAAGCGACACAGCCGGGGCATACTTAGGCATGTGGTCATCATGGCTGCAGTCGTTGGCGCACCGAATGTAGATACATCGACGATACCTTACGAATGCGAGCACTGCGGCAAGACTTTCACAGCCAAAAGGTCTCTTTTGCGACACAAGCGACCTGCCCTCCGATGTTCCAGCCATGAGAGTGGACAGGAGCGACATCATTGCCCATATTGCCAAGACACCTTTGCAAGGCATGACAATGTTGTTAAACATATCAGGCGTACGCATGCGGACATACAAATGACCTGCTCACTGCATGTTTCTCAGGAACAAGAATTGCCTCTGCCCGAATCTCACAGCTGGACCGGGCAACTTCCGTGGAGAGATGTAGACTTCAGTTCAATGCTTGGTAGTCTCAGCAATTCGTCTACCAATAGCTGCCAGACATCAACATCGAGCACCGCCGAGCACTCAGGCTCGTTCAATTGGGACGAGATTAGTCTTCTGCCAACGACGCCGCTTGATTCTGTATCCTGCATGTCATTCACCGACAACATCGCACAGGAAGGTTCCATGATCCATCACAATGTATTCCCAGATGACCTTGGCAGCTCCTACGATTCCTTCGACATTCAGGACGCATCTGCCTTTTCCAAAAATCCGTCTGGCGCTACAGGCCACAATCTACTGAGCGCGGAAAGTCTGCCGATTGCCTGTGTCGATAGCGACAATGGCAATGGTGGCGAAGACTACGCCTACAGTGATCATCCAGAACTCAAATGTCCTTCGAGATCTTTCGGACTCAAAGAGCAGATACTTGTCGCTATTGAACAGAATGACCCATGTCAGCCCCAAGAGCTTCTGGGGGTCTATAATGAGATATTTGTACCTGATGGGCAGTACTTGGGCGTATACCCCAGCTTTGACAATATCTCAGATGCCAATTACGCTGTTCAGCTGGCCAATCTGTATCATTACGTGGACGGTCGTGCAGCTGGACGAAATCTTTGCATGGAGCTAGTAGAAGCGGCGTACACCGGAGCTTTGGCTTGCGTTCAAGTTCTGCTCAACCACGGAACTCTTGCGAATAGTGCTGCCATGCTTGTTGCAGCCGAGGCTGGCAATCGAGCCATCGTTGACTTGCTGCTGGAGAACGCTCACATTTGGCAATTGATTTCGGATTCTTTCGACCCAGCTCTAAGAGCTGCCGCTTACAATGGTCACGCTGACATAGTGCGAGCTTTGCTTCTTGCTGGCGCTCGGGTCGACTCGCCTGCCGCAGATGGCAGCACTGCACTAGCCTTCGCAAGCAGGAAAGGCCATGTTGGCGTCATTGAGGAGCTTCTTGATTGGGAAGCAATTGTGACAGTCGGCTGCAAAATGTACAATGGTTCAATCTCGGTAGCCATACAGGCCGGTAGCGCAGCAATTGTCGAAATACTTTTGCGGCGAGCCCAACCTACAAGTGCTCAGCTGGAGTCATTCTTGGTGCAAAGCATCCGTCAAGGCTCCGCCGATGTAACACGGGTTCTACTTCAGCTCGACATATTCAGCCAAGAAAGGGCCAGCGCGATTTTGGAGGTTATTGGAACTAGCCTTGCAATGTGGTTATCACGGAATCATTCGAACATTACTTGATCATCAGCCTGGAAAAGACACTTTAGGCAATGTGGAGATGGGCATCGTGGACGCACTCCAGACTTGCAAAGACAGCGCAGTCATTGGCTTGCTTCTTTCTAGACACAGGAGAAGTCTTTTGCAAAGAAGCTGCAGCATACAGAACGGATCACCGATGGGAATGAATGCGTGTCCACATACATACGGCCTCGTCTGAAATTCTCAGGTTCCAGCCCACTTTCGGCCACCCAAGGCCATCTAGGGCTGCTGCAATGCGACTTTCTTGCACCGGTGGCACGGCAACACGATACTGAAATCTGCGCATGGCATCTGTTCCCGCAGACTCGAGAAATCTGCGGTGCGCACCAGAGGCACTCATGAATCCTGGAAGTCCAATCCGGGATCCAGCGCTTTGGGTGGACCGACTGTTCTTACACTCGAAATGCAAATCTAACATCTGCGTAGCCGAACTCCACGATACGACAGTGCCAGTATCCAGAAATCGTACAGCCGCCGAGATGAAGTCATTGCCATTCAGAACGAGGAGGACTGGGCAAAGACCACACTCCACAAGATTGGCCTTCACGATTCGTTTATCAAAGAAGTCTCTAGACACTTTCCTTTGGGCAATGGTGAGTCCCTGACTTCTTCCTGGCCCTCACACCAGCAAGCTAATGACCAACACCTGTAGTCGCCATGAGCCGTGTCGCGAAGAAGAAGATCATCTCCTCGGATGATATCAAGATTTCGAAGGGACGTACGGTGCAGGTCCTGAATGATGGCATATATGACGAGGACCTCAACCAAGACCCCGAGAAATTCCGCATTTGCAGAGTGATCAGCCCAGCGTCTTTCTATGGGCGCTTCAGCGCATCGCGATTGAGTCCCGTCCCTCCCAAAGGTCTTGTTCTATCTTCGTGCCACGTCACCGCTTCGGCAGACGACTCTTGCTCGCGAACGTTCTAATTGCGAGTCTAAGAGCATAGCGTTTGTGCGGTTGCGGAGTTCGACGTGTCGTGTGAGTGAGTGTCGCATTCCTCCCACCGCTACTCAGCGTGAACATGAAGACCCAGGACGGGGGCAACTCATTCACACCACGAGGCAAGATCAGTCAGTGACGAAAAAGAAATAGCAAGCACCCGATTCGGAGGACGTAAAGCCTCCTCTCATACCGTCGCTACCTAAAACGACTAAAATACAGAAACAGGCAGGTCTTAGTTTCCCTCTTCAGAGGTACTCACACCGCGCACCACGAGAAGGTGCCTGCCAAAACAGCGCAGCACCCCGGCGTAACAGGGCGGCACGGCTCAATGCAGGCGGGCACGCAGCCAATTGACCTCAAAAAAGAGCCGTACCTAACAAAAGAAATTCGTAACAGTCATAAGTCCCTTTCACCCTCGCTGCTGCCGACTCTCCCACAGCAGCTCTTCTCGGATCATTCTGACCTCGTCAGTCGATAACCCGTCCCATCTCTTGGCGGTAGCCCTTGCGTCGCGCTCAAGCTTCCGACGTTTAGCCCACTAGGCAAAAACGCTGAACAATCCGCAACAAGCCATCAGATCAATGCGTCGTCCCTTGGTCTTGTGAAATTGTTCTGGAGAGAAAAGGGAGAGGAGGAAGGGCGGGGGAGACGGGGTACTTATAGACAGCTTTCGAGCGTGCAATCACCATGGGAAGTGGAGTGATGATGAACACGGAGTGGAACTTGCTCATTGGTGTTTTGGGAACGTTTGGGTGTACCAAATTTGTGTTCGCTGAACGATAGGCTGTGGCTTCGAAGCTATGCCAAGACTTGTTGTGATTTGTCGCAGCCTGATCCGAGAACCAGTCTTCTTGCCAATGTGGTCCGATGCATGAAAAATTTCCGCATCACAGAACCGAATTCTCTGCCGAAGTGGTCTGAGAATGCATTTCTGTCTGTCCAAGATCTGGTACGAGTGCTTGTCAGCAGGTGCGCCCGACTTCCTACACGTCGCAGCCTTATCACAGAAGCGGCCTTGTCGACCAATAGCTGTTGGTTGTTGATTAATCACAATCACGAGATTAAGATCACAATCGCAATCAAATGGCTTTGATTAATCACAAATCGCAATCACAACAATAACATAATCACACTTGATAGGGAAGATAGAGTCTGCTGGCTGAGTAAGCACTAAATTCTCAGACCAGTTGTCCACGCATTTATACTGCTCAGCCCCCTTCGTGCCCAGTGAATTGTTCACGCCGCCACTTCCTGTTCACAAATCATTCCGAAGCCGCGGCCGCGGCGATGCTTACACATACTGTCCTCGAAATTGCTGCAGTTCGCATCGATCGTAGTGCACCAGTTCGGTGGCAATGAAGACTTGTATCGCGAAGGATCTTGTTTATCGATTGTGTCCAACAATGCGAACCACCGTTTCTGCAAGTCCCTATGATAAGAACATGCTTGTTCGTAAACATCAGTGTTGCGTTTAGCAAGACGTTCTTGCTTTGACGTCGCCTGGAAGCCGGAATGGAAAGCACTCTCGCGTCATGGAAGAGGGAATGTGCCTGCATTCGTAGGTGAGCTATACGCATCTACATGCTTTCGCCCATCTCGTTGGACCAATTTCCGATCTACATGGTAGTCTTTATGGGTCGACATGCCTTTACGCATCGCCCTTCTGCGCCTGCTTTAGATTCACAACGTGGATCTCCTCCGTCTTCCTTCTCGCCTGCGGCTTGGATGAAGATTGACAGTGGACTCGAACTCCAGATGACTGGGTCGAGTCGTATTGATCTCATTCCCGGCGAAGAAGCGACTGCAATCGAGTGTTAGCGGAGAGGTCCAGAAGAATGAGGAGCTTTACGGCAGAGGTATTGCCTTGGACAAGCATATTTGCCTGGAGGGTGTTAGCTTGTGATCCCCGCCCCGGTTGGGGGGGGGGGGGGGGATGGCTGCCTTCTAGAGTTGAGTTGAAGAGAGGAGAAGAAAAAAAGAAATTGGAAACCTCCGCGAGTGAGAATGTAGAGATCTGTTTGTTGTTGAAAACATCGAGGTTTTCATGTTCGTTTGCGGTCACCAGCTCAGCTCGCCAGATGCACTTCTTCGGAGCAGTCTACCACCCACCTTGCCTGACTTTTGCTTGCTGGTCAGCCGCCAGCGCCACTGCTGGGAATATTCACAGCGTGGCATGAGCGTGACAGTGGGCTTTGAGCAGGAATCGAGACGTGGAACAGGATGTTCTCGCCATGCATGAAAACCGGGCTGTAATTACTGTAGATCCGATTCTGGGGACATCTTCTTCGTATCGCAAACATGCATTTAATCTCATCTCATGCTTTCCATATTGGCAACGCTTCTCCACAGAGTTCAAAACACCAGCATTGCTTTTCTACATGCGGACCTCATGGATACCGCTTGGTCCTTGTTCGTTGTAATCCGTTCTCGTCATGTAACCTTTGCTAGCACCACCGTCTACGATGAAAAGGAGCTTGCCTGCAACTTGCGCACCTAGGAAGGCAGCTTCATCGTATCCGACCTCTTTCCATTCAGGGAAGTACTCTGGGATTTTCGCAGTCTTTATGCTTGTTGGCGTCTGACCGTGACCGCTCGAGTGCATACTATGATGGTGTGGCATCCCATGCATGGGTGTGTGCATGCCTGGTTGGGATCCCGGATGTAGTTGAGGGTTTTGTGCCGTCAAAGCAGCGTGCAAGAGTGGATTCACTCCAGAATGTGGAGGTTGTTGGCCGGGAAGCTGCGGTTGTGGAGTATTCGCGCCAGTCGCTATGGGTGTTGACATGTTGGATGGCAACTCCGAAGTGAAGATGGTCGCGGATGACGGCGAAATTATATACTTGGACTGAAGCGTTGCCAACAGGGCTTCCTTAAAGCCGCGCACCTTCGATCCGTTGCCAAGTATGATCAGCGAGTCCCAGAGCTCGCTTCTCTTTCCCATTTCACCACAACCTTGTATTGTTCGATGTATGGCATCTGCAAGGCGATCCAGTATTCCGCCCGAAGCAGCCTGGAATCGTTCTAGGCCAACCTCGATTTCGCGTCGGAAGCCGCCAGTCGGTGCTGTGTCAGTAGTGCCGTCGAATTTGTCGAAGCCGCCATCTGCTGGCTTGTCGGAGACTGCAGATTGAGGTTCAGGTGTCTTTTGTCGCTTGTTTGACCCTTCGTCCAACGCAGACTGCATGTCTTGCAATTCTTGGGCACTTTTGCCCGCCTTCTTCATGGCATCATGGAGCGCAAAGTCTTCGTATATGAAGGTATTTCGGCTGCGCTTTGCATTTGGTAATCGAGCAGGCCTGTTGGCTTGTGCGGCCAGCCCGGCTTCACTCGCTTTCCGCTGTTTCGCCGCAGCTTTCTCCTGCTTCTCCTTCTCCTTTTGAGCCAGATACTCGGCCATGTTACCGCTTGTTACGATACTCGCGACGTCGAGCACACCTTCGTCATCTTCCAGCTTCTTTTCTTCGCCGACCTCCGTACCTGGCCCGGGTCCTCGTGGCCGATCACCAGCTATCGATGCTTTCCTCTGGCCTGGTGCTGCTCCGTCGGCGCCAGTTGACGCCGCAGCAGCTGGATTCACAGGTCCTTCGGGGGCATCAGTGTCCGGCACTTCTGTGTCTGGAGGAAGAATCTCGCAAATGCTACTTTTTTTGAGCTGTTCGCAGACGTCTCGCGTGAAGCCGTTTCGTCCTTTCAACAACTCCATCAGGCCTTCGGTCATTGCATTTCCGCCGCAGTTCTCAACAGCAATGCCTCGTCCGACATCCTGCAGCATGAAGTCGACCACACAGGTGATATCTGCTTTGTTGAGACCCACGTCGACCACGGTCGCCGTCGGTATGCCGTATGCGTAGACTGTGGCCACGGCAGAGTCCATCATGGCCAGTGCGGGGGTCTTGAACTTTTCAAAGATGAACTGTGCGACCTTCTCGTACTCTTTGTGTGTCCAGACGGGTTCTCCAATGAGCAAGATGGGCGTGTGGAAGGGCGGATTCACAGTGTTGTGGACATGTTCGAGCAGTGCATAAAAGCACTGCCAGTCGACAATTGTGCCATTCTGTATGGGCCAGATGGCGCCTTCCTCTGATATGCGATCCTCCTCCCATTCTGGCTCCTCCCCATTTGCAGCGGCGAATGGTTTGTCTCTGCGTCGAATCTTGATTGGCTCGAATTCGCCTTCGTTCTCTCCAGGGAACATGCGCGACCTTAGGCGATAGCGTGCTGGTGTGAAGGATTCTGGCAGGCCGAGTTGCGCCAGCGTGGTTTGCGAGCCGGGCGCGATAATCTATGCCAGGTCAGTCGAAGGCGGAGGTCTTGGAGGGCACCATGCAGCCTTACGAAGATCTGGTCATCGCGAAAGGGAGGCATTATGTGCAGGCGATGGTGGGAGGTCAGTTCAATTATTGGCTTCGAGAACGACGCGAGTCGAAGCCCAGACGCGCCGCGCAAGGCAGCAATTCAGGCAGCACGCCATTCCCAATTCCCCGACATCTACGGCCGGCCACAATAGAGAGTTTTAGCAGCCTCGTACGCCAACACCTGAACTAACAGGTGGGTCTTCGGATATAGTCGTACGAGGACTCGGAATAGCCGTTTATAGCAGTGGACCGTGCTTTATATCTCTCTACGCGTATTACTATATAGATATCGCGTTTTGCGCCGCGCCTACCCTAGCTCTTTATATACTAATCGCTACTATATCGCTAGAAGAAGAAGAAGTGTTAATATTCCTTGTTCTCGTAATAATAGTGTTCGAATTAGATAAGCCGCCGAAGTAGAAGCGCGAGTTGCCTAAGTACGAGTTCTTCGACTAGACTATAGATATTATAAAGATAGATATAGGTATAGGTAGGCATAGGTATAGGCTAGGTAGGAGGCCCTAGCCTCCTATAGTATATACTTCTCTAAGCCTAGATAGACTTAGAATAATTATCTACTTTATAATATACGATATATAATAAAATAGTAGCTTCGCTTCGAGTACTAGCGTAAAAATACGTACTAACTATCTCTAAATAGACTATCTAAACTATAGTTTACTATTTCCCTCTCTAAGGCGAAAAGTCCTCCGCGCCGAAGGAGAATCCTAACGAACTACTCTAACACTACTTTCCGCACTATAGAACGCCGTAGCTACGCTATAAAAAAAGAGGCTATAATTTAGTATAGAATATACGAGATCTATAAGCGAATCGACTCGGAGATCGACGATAGACCTAGCCTAGCGCCGTAGCGCGCTTTACGCTCCCTCTATTAACACCTTACTTACTAAGGGTAGGAGCGTTAGTTCTAGTTAGTAAGAGCCGGGCACCTAACCCTCCTAACTTCCCTTTATAGTACAAGTATATAGAAGGTTCCGATTACTCTTACGGTAGCTACTACGTCTATACCTACGGTTAATATTAAGATAGTACCCTATTCCGTCTCTTAGTAGCAATATCTACGCCTTAATAAGGGAGCTTATAGCATTAAAGGACTAGGAATCTCCGAACGACCCGCCGCCTATAGCCTAGGAAGATTGCACTCTTCCCGAATTAAAGGAAGATAGATACTACCTAGTTTATATAATATATATACTATTAGCCTTCTCGAAACTAAGGCAGTATCTAAACAAGCTATTTAAGAAGGATCTTAGGTATAGAGTTATCGCTATTACCGAGTAGTACGAGAATCCGGAGGAGGCTAAACCTCTACGTCGCCTAAGGTTATAGTCCCGTATTCCGGATACAGACAAAGACGCGACTCCTAAACCTTAGATATGCGCTAAGATTATTAGTTCGTAGGTTAACGATAACTCCCTATCGCTTTCCGCTATACGATAAGTATATCGCCTAACTTCGTACTAGTCGGATAGCCTATACTTCGCTTAGTAGCTAGTAGAATACCTTAAGTCTACTAATAAGAATCCGGCTATAGGCGAGAATTAGCTACGTCGCCGTAAGGTTTATATCCCTCTACGACTAGAGAAGTAGGGCGTCCGTCGCTTAATTAAGGACGAGAACTTAGGCTAAGCTAAGCCTAATAGACGTAGGGAGTCTTTTAAAATCAACCCGCTAACGGGTAACGTTTTTAAGAATTTCGGTACCTTTCGTAAAGACGACCCGCCTCCTAAGCCTCGCGAGAGCTTATTAATCTCGGTGTCTAGTAGTTCGATACTTAGCTTACTACCGGATTCCTAGCTAGAGGGAGAAGATATATCGGGCAAGTAGGCTCTAGGATCTATAGCACCGGCGAACGGTATAGCCGGCGCTAAACAGCGAGATAAAATTAGATAAATAAAGTCCTAGGTAGCTTAGTAGCTAGCCGAGCAACGTACTAAGGCAGATAATAATCGAGCTACGGATCGTATACGTCTATAGAGGGCACTAGACGAGTAGCGCGAGGCTTACGAGATCGAGATATAGGCCTAAATCTAACAAGCGTTTAACGAAGGCCGTAAGGAGGCTATAAGAGCTAAGAACAAGAGTAGAGATAAGGATATAGAAGCTAGTAGAGCACTACCTCCGATAGCCTTAGAATAGCGCTATACTATCGATACGAATAGTATCCCTAAATTGTTCCTTACTATTATAGATAAGCGGTAAACCGATAGAATTGCTTGCTATTCGAACAAAGGACTTACTAGCTACTTATATACCCTAGCGCCAAGAATTACAAGCTATTACTAAGCCGTAAGTAAATAACCTCGCAACTTCCTTCTCCTTCTCTTGCTTATAAATCTAACTAGACTCGTACATTCCTAAGTATTCTAACACTCCCTCTACTTAGCTATTTAGCCGTAAACTAAATAGCTAAGTCCTAATCCTTCTTAATCGTTTTTATTGTCCCTAGGACTCTTTTTACGTTTTCTTCGAACTTCCCTTTTATTAGGGGCTTAGTAAGGAAGTCCGCGAGTTAGTCCTTTATCGGAATATACTTTATATCGACTAGCTTGTCCTCGACTAGTTCCCGTACGTAATGTGCCGCTACGTCGATATGTTTCGTTCTAGAATAAAATTCCGGATTTCGTACTAAAGCGATAGCCGCCTTATTGTCTCCGTAGATAATCGTAGGTTCTTTATAGTCGTCTTCCGTAAGGTATCCGACTTGCTTAAGGAAATTTCGGATCTAAATAGCTTCTTTTGCGGCGTAGGATAGCGCTAAGTATTCGGCTTCCGTAGTAGTAGTCGTTACGGACCTTTGTAGTTTAGTAGACTAAGATATAGGTCCTCCGGCTAGTAGGGATATATATCCTATCGTTGACTTCCTAGTTAAGTCCGCCGCGTAATCCGAATCGGTATAAATAACCGGTAGACGAGTAACTAGAGTACTCGTATTGTTTTCGTTCTTCGGGATAGGACTATACTTTATATAGTAGTCCCGAGTGTTCCCTAGGTATCTAAGGCCGTAGATATCTCCGTCGTAGTGTCTCCTAGCCGGATTTACCGTAGATTGGCTTAGTCTCTGCGTTAGAAAAGATATATCCGGCCTCGTAGCTCGTACGGTCTAATTTAGTTTTCCGATAAGTCGTTAGTATCTCCGGACGTCTACTACCTCCTCGTCCTTTGTTATAGGTAGTAAATTCGTATATCCGTTTGCCGGAGTCGATACTCGGAAGGTTTCGTCTAGATCTAAGCTCTCTTCTCTAAGCGTATTTTCGATATAGTGCCTTTGATCTAGTAGTATAGATCCGTCGGCCTCTCTCTCGATTCGTACGCCTAGTATAAACTTAGCGGGACCTAGATCCTTTATTTCGAACCTCTGTATAAGCCCGTCCTTTAGCGGTTTAACCTCCGCCTCTGTCTTCGCTAGTATAATAAGATCGTCGACGTATAACGCGACTATTAGCGTATAGTCGCTATTAACGAAGACCGATTAATCCGCGGGTATAGCGTAGAGGTCGTATTCTTTAAAGAAGGCCGTAATAGTCTTATTCTAAACTCGTCCGGATTGTTTTAGTCCCGGTACTCCTTTTAGGAGTTTAAGTACTTTATTAGTTCCGGGAACATCTAGGCCTTCCGGGATAGCTAGGTAGACTTCCTCCGTTAGTTCTCCTAGTAGGTAGGCACTTACTACGTCCATTTGGAATATAGTAAGTCCTTTACTAGCGGCGATAGCTAGGAGAAGGCGTAGGCTTTCGAGACGTATTACCGGAGAAAACGTCTTAAAGTAATCGATTCCGTAGCGTTGCGTAAAGCCCTTTCCTACTAATCTCGCCTTAAATTTATCGATTTGTCCGTTCGGTAGTATTTTTACTTTAAAAACCCATTTCGGAGTAATAACGTTTATTTGCCCTTTTCCGTCCTTCGGCTTAGGATAGTCGACAATCTCGTAGGTATTGTTAGCCGTTAAGGACTCGATGTGTTCTTTAATAGCGTCTTTCTACTATCGGGAGTAAGGGCCGGTAATAGCCTCCGTATAGGTCTCGGGGGTAGGTATTTCGAAAGCCTTTCGATAGTCGACTTTTAGAGCTACTAGCCCTATTTCGTCCCTTAGTCTCTTAGGTGCTTTAGGGAACCTCGTAGACCTTCGTAGTTCCCCTTCGTTTAAATCCGTAGTAGTAGAAGCCGTAGGAGTAGTAGACCTTTCGTCGTCGTTTTTATTTAAACCGTCTTCTTCGTCTTGCGGTTTCGTAGTATTATCTTCGGCTTCGGAGTCTCCCTCTACTTCCTCTACTTCTCGAGACTCTCCTTTATCTAGGATATCGATATCTCCGTCGTCGTTGTCCGTAATAGGCCGTAGGGTAGGTAGCTCTTCTCCGGATAGTAGGCTACTTCCCTTAGTCGATTCGTCGAATTTAACGCTAGTATAGATCCCGATAGCGTCCGTCTTAGGATTATAGATCCTATACTGTTTCGTAGACTTCGTATATCCGACGAAGATTCCTAGGAATGCCGTCTTTTCTAGCTTGTCTTTCCTTTTCTCTTTAGGAATAAACGGATAGGCTAGGTAGCCGAATACCCGTAAGTGTTCTCCGCTAGGCTTTCTTCCGGTATAGAGCTCCTCGGGAGTTATATCTTTTCCTTTAATAGGTAGCCTATTATGTAAATAGGTAACCGTATAGGCCGCTTCGCCCTAAAATCGTTTAGGTAATCCGGACCCTTCTAAAGCTACCCGTACCTTAGTTATAATAGTACGGTTTTGTCTCTCTACTACTCCGTTTTGTTCCGGAGTATAGGGCGTCGTTGTTTCGATTCGTAGTCCCGGATAGGCCTTAAGAGCTTTAATAAGCTCCGGAGCGTTGTCGATTCTTACGGCCTTTAGTTTCCTCCCGGTTTCGAGTTCGGCCTCGTTTTTCTAAGCCTTAAAGGCTTCGTATACGTCGCTTCTATAGCGAGTAAGACGGATATCTAACCGTCTCGTAGCGTCGTCCGTAATCGTTAGTATATACCTGTTTCCTCCTAAG